CGATGCCTTGTCTTGCCCCCGCGGCATCTTCTCGCTCTGGCATTGGCACCGTACGAGGACCCAGCCGTGAATTTGGAAAGGAGACACTAGCGAGGTCCTAGCGAAGCGCGCCTAGGACAAGGTGGAGGAGGAGCGGTTAATGATTACCGTGACACTAAATTGCTGGCGTCGGTCGGTTATGTTGGGTGTGTGTCCTTTCAGCGGCTATTCCTTCCTCGGTGACCAGCACCGGTAGATCTTGGCGATGAAGCATCTGGCCGCATTCTTTAGAATCTGGTTGCGATTGCTGAAAACAAGTATTGCAATGGCGATGAAACGAGTGACAGAATGTGTAAGTTGAGGATCGAATTGTTATCGGTTGGAAAAGATGTGACCGACCTGTGCCTTCCTTCTTGGTACCTCGTGCGTTGAGGCAGGAAGGTAGGCGACTGCTTGCTCCTTTCCAACCCACACCTGGCCAATCTTAAAGAAATTTTGAACATCAACCTTTCAAAGTCTTACTGGACCTCTCCCAGTCTCGATGGCTTCACCTCACCGCTAAATTCATAGTCGTTTCAAAATCACGTTACCCGTACCAGACGAGGTCGGCTACCCCGAAATCACAACCCCGTGTTGTGTTGTCCAGCCTGAGTTATGACCGCGTGGCTCGTCGACGGGATTTTGAGTCGAGTTGAATTGCTCGGCCGGTCAAGGTCTGTCACAGGCCCCGGCCCCTGGCACGGGATAAATTCCATTTGGACTTCTAGAAGCTAGGACGAAGCACAAGAGGCGCCGACCGTGCAAATCCCAATTTCGCGTCAGGGAGGTAGGGAGGGCATGATGCGCCCTTGTTCAACCCTCAAACGGTCAAGCGAGTGTGACGTGATGATTGAGCCAAGATGCTGACAGGTTGGCTAGGCATAGATTTCGGCTGCGATATCCGTTGAACTAATGATCGGTGTCCTGGAGATAGCCTGGAGCTGGAGCGGGAACAGCGAGCTGAACACTACAGTCCCTACCCCCGTTGAGTCAAAGGCGTATCGGCAAACAGCCCTGAGAGACTTCACTGTCCAATTGTGTCAGCTCTGTACAAGAACGACGGTGTCGGCGGCGCACATTGAGGATCTAAGCTTCACCAGCAACACCCGGTGACAGTCAGCCTGGCACCAAGCATGCGTTTGGCGTTCGTCAACACCCATTTCCCGTCGTCTGGCCTCTCTCAAACGCCACTGTACCATGTGCTTCTCATGCTGCGCTCAAGAGGCGCGATGCCACCAAAACTATGTCGGAGTCAGGAAACCGGGTTAGCGCTGATGAGCATGACAGGGTCCAAAGAAGATGAAGCAAGCATGGCATCAGGCATGTGAGGGTACCCAGACAGGGCATATGCCCGTATATCAAAAGCGGCTTTGCTTTTGGTCGTCTCGGGGTTCTCCAGCAGCCGTTTCAAAGAGGTGTTTCAGTATTAACCCTCCTTGTTGCTCTCGTCGAGACTGACAGGCATCAGCATCCATTGCCAACCTAGTTGGCCTAAAACCGGGCTCCCGTCCCTGTCCCCTCGCGAACTGCCATAGGCGAAAGCCACAGACACCACCAGCATGGAAGGGAGGTGAGAAAGTGCCTGATTTACCCCAGCGGCGCACACCAACTCCAACGAGACGGGAAGACTCTGGTATTGCTCCGACGGCTGCATGCTCGGGTGCAATTTGCAACAAGCAAACCTACCTAGGCAAAGAGGCGGCGCGTGGGGCAGAGTTGGGGTGGGCCATGCCCACAGCGTGGTTGCATGGTTGCAGGGACATGGGCGTTCTCAGCGCATGGCCACAACGTGACGCGGTGGATGGAGGCATTGAGCATGGCTACAGGGAAGACAGTCGGCCGAATGCAGCTTAGGACGGTGGGAGGAATCCCTGGAGCCACGCGCGCCCAAGGGGGCGCTTGCAAGGTGGCTGCCCAGAGCAAAAAGGTGCTGCTCCTGGAGAAGATTGGCTGTGGGAGCAAGGCATGTACTGCACGCGCCCAGCAGTCCACGCCTGCACGACCTGACCTGTCTTGAATTAACATTCACCAAGTGAACGGGTATTGGGAGGTGTCACCTCGTTTCCCCTGCTGGGTCGAGTTCTTTGCTGACAACCTCCAGTGACTCCAGGACCTACAGAGCTAGGATCAGTTCATGGTCAACTTCACCAGGCTGCTTTGTTGCACTCTCTCCCTCTCACACTTCATTCGTGTGTTCAGCGGGCTCACGACCCCATTCGTGCTATGCACTAGCCCGGCCGGCCCTTTGTTTCTCATCAGAGGGTCGTACAGGCTTTGCCTCCCCCTTCCCACCCATCCATGTCTACCAGTCAACCTGAGTTACCTCCTACTTACCTGCCTCGAGGCAAGCGAGCATTCCATCCTAGGTGTCGCCCACCGTACTGCCTAGCCGACCCACCACAAGATTGCAGCAACCATTGAAAGAAATCATGGGAGAGCGCTGGAGGATCAGGCTTTCGGCTGGGCCACTTCGGCGCCAGCTTTGGATGCCTTTGCCCGCTGGACTCAATGGGATTTGCAATGAGGCGCCCGCCCAGGCGACACCCGCCATGGTCGTGGTTGCACAGGGTACGCTCGTGGCGGGCAAGCCACCGGAGGAGAGCCCGCTCAGGCTGCTACTGGCTGGAAAAGGTATTCCAAAGAATGATTCTGACGCCGTCGAAATGGGGTATTGGGCGGATTTACTGGCCATACGGGACCGAAGCACCTGGCCGCTGATATCAAGCATGCGCTTCCATACCGTCCAGACAGTCCTCGCGTACGCCATGTGCCAGCTAGCGGGCTACTTTTACAATCCCTCGGTCAGTCAGGATGCGGAGGGGACAGTCACTGGGCCAGAGTGACTGTCCCCCGCTTGCGCAGTGCAGACCGCTGCAGATCAGCAAGAGTGATGCAGGCATTCTGCAGACCTCCAGGCTGGGTGTCGAGTGGTCCCCGGGCTGTGAACCCTCAGCAGGTATCATGCCCTAACGCGTTACTTACAGTGCCTTAGCGCAGGTAGCTCCAAATGTGAACAAGAGCGAAGGTGAGTTGGGGTCCCAGCGTCGAGGCCAGTAATGCGAGTTGCTGGAAGTGGCGGTCCTTTCTTGGGATCCCAGCCTCTTGGCTCCTGGGCTCGCTCTGGGCAGTAGCTCCACGCCAGAGACTTTCAGAGTCTTGGTGGTTGATGCTATCATATGATTGACCGAGGAGACAAAGGAATAAGTGAGTAGGTAGCAGTGTGAGAAGCGAGGTAGGTATGCTGCGTCGGCCGGCAGAAGGAGGGCTGATTCCTGACGACGGTCCTTTCATGTCGGGGTTATTACCGGCTGGTTTCTCTGTTGTGATTTCTGATTACCGGCAGCCCCTCTTCTCTTTGGTCGTTTCCCCTCCTTTCACGCATCCGTCCATGTCGGTCGGCTTGCTCCTATGTGCGTGTTGCAGTCGGAGCCGATTAGAGTGTGCCCGTACGGTGCGGTGCCCGGCATTCCCATGCACCGGACTGCCTCTAGTTAGTCATCACCGACACCATGGACACCTAGGTAGGTGGCTCGCTCACCACCGTCCGTGATTACGTTCCCCTCGGGAGCAGCCAGTTTGACCGAGGCCGGGCTGGAGAGTTTTGCTGGTTTGACGCGGCGGGCTGGCAACAGAGCTGGACGTCTGTCCTCGTCTTGGTCGCCCCCTGGAAGCCCGCCAACCTGCGCTGAAGCATCCATGGAAGCCCGCGGCCAGGGCTGGTGTATCACTGAGCGAACCCCTGTTACACGGCGCAACAAGTACCCGCTACCTAGGTAGGTGATCAAGATGGATGTGGGTGGACTGGAGTCCATGGATGGTTCTGTGGGCGTTCTCGTCTCGCTCTCGGCCTCAACTGTAGAAACCCACTCTGTTCTTTCGCTTGCTGGACCGACCCGACCCTTTTTTCTTTTTCTCTGTCTATCCATCGCCTCAGCGGAGTCATCGGTGCCCTGGCCCTGGTTCTTTGCCCTCATTTGACCCTGACCCTGCCCTGACCCTGGCCTTGGTTAGCCCGCTGTTCTCAGCGCCCAGATTAGCCCCGGCGTCCAGTGCGTGGTGCGTGCGTGCGTACCTTGTACGGAGGAGCCCTCTGAGAGAGAAAGACACAAACCCACCGGCTCTCGATGGCGCCCTCTCTCTTGGTAGAACATGGGTCTCTAGACGCACGCCAGAGTCCCTTCTTCTTCACCCCTCTCCTCGCACCCCACCCTCCCCTCAAGTGCGCCCATCTCCAGCCAGGGCCGGTCTTGGTCTTGTCTACCCTCTCTCTACCTTGCCCATCCTATCCTATTCTAATCCTGCCTATCCTATCTCTCTGCCCGTGTCCCACTTGCTCTCGCCGCGTCCAGCAGTCCATTTGCCTTCTTATTTGAACCTTTCCGCTGCCGTCAACAGAAAAACTCCCCTCCCTCTAACCTTTCTCGTTCCCGTTAGATGGCCACTCTGTCGCATACTCAAAGGCCCACGGATCACCAGTCTGCCTCTGATACCCTCGACCACGCTACTCCACGCTCCTCTCTCTCGCTCTCGCATCGGCCGCCTCCTCCAGTTCCGGCCGCTCCTCCTCCAGACGCTCCCTCGTCCGCCGCCGCCGTGGTAGCTCCGCCCGCGCCAGCCCACGTCACATCCTCCAGCTCCGGCTCCAACTACGGCCACCGTCATACCGTCTCCTCCGTCTCGAGGCTGAACAATCGCTCGTCCACCAGCATCTTTGCCTTGGCCGCCGCTGCCTTGGACCGCACACAGAGTGCCATCGCTACCATCTCGGAGCCCTCCATTCGGCCTCGACAGTCCAGCGGTGCCCTCTCGCGGCTCTCACTGCTCACGAGCTCCTCTCCCTCTTCGGAACCCTCTAGCCCGGACAAGTATCACCGTCTGAGAAGCACTTCGAGCCAGTCTCTTCTGGCCGGCTCCAATTTGGACAGCAAACTCGCTCCCCAGGTCGCCCCGGCGAACAATCCGCCTTCTCAGCCCTACTCGTCCACCGACCCGAACCACCCGCTTCCAATCAAGTCTCCCGCTACGGAAAACAAGATGCATCAGACATCCTCGCGCTTGTTGCGCATGACGGACGATGACCGGCCGTTCACAAAGGTACGTGCCCTCGGCCCACGATCTTGTCTCTCTTCCTGTCCTGGTGTCTCCGCTCGAACCGTTTCCCCCTCGTGTGGATGTGTAACGTTCTGTGCCGTGTCCATGATTGCATCTCTCTGAAACGCTGCCTCTCCCGACAGCTACAAGCTACGACATTGGCTAACATGGTTTCACAAACAGGACTTCAAGGATCTCTTTGCCACCCTGGTCGTCAGTCTGCTACCGCTCTCGGCTCACCGCGTCCGATTGACAAAGGTCGAGTACACCTTTCTGTCCGAGGATGCTATCAACAACCTTGGATCTCTCAAGTTCTCCCAGTCCAACCGCATGCCCGACCCCAAGGACCCCTCCCGCATTGTCACCACCACTACTACCACGACCTTTTCCATGGCCAAGGATATGGCCCGTTCTATCTGCCAACGTTTCCTCGAGGCCCGTTTTATCGAATCGGCCGACGGCAAGTACCAGCAGGTGTACACAATGAAGGGATCCGTCTGGCAATTGACACCAAAGGGCATCACTGTCCTGGACCGATTCTGTGCCCGAAATGGCATCCAGCAGAAGCAGGTGTCAGAACTTGCTAACCTCGGCTCGACTCAGCTGGTCCTTCTGGAGCGAGATTCTCAGACTGACAAGCTTCTCCACGATCAGGGCACTGTTGAGGTCATCTTCCGTCGCTTCGCGGGTTCTGAGGGCCGCAACGTCAAGCCTACTGTCAACGCCGCCGACTCAGACTCGTTGCATGATTACCGGGACGGTCTTACTGGTGTCAAAATGGCAGCCGAGCGCAAGGTCAACGGAAAGTCATATCGTGACACATTCACGGGCAAGGCCACAACCGATTGGCTGATGGACTGCTCCACCATTGTCGACAAGCGGGAGACGGTCGAGGTTGCTACCCTCTTCGTCGAGTACGATCTGATGGAGCCCGTGGCCCAGGACCGCGCCTACATGTCCCAGAACCCCGGATGCAATGTCTTCCAGCCCACCAAGTACGCCATCTACCAGCTGTCGCAAAGAGGCAAGGACCTGGTCAGCGGTGCGGCCACGCGAGGACGGGCATCAGAGAGTGAAGGCGGTAACGCATCGCAGCGAAACGGAATCACTCGGGACTCCAACACGCAGCGATTGGACAAGATCCTGAACGACCCTGCGCTCCGGCTTCTCTTCCGTGAGCAGCTCCGCGACACGCACTGCGAAGAGAACCTGTCGTTCTACCAAGACGTCGACGAGTTTGTACGTAGCTGCAAGGCTGCGACACGGGCAGCTCAGAAGTCGCCCAACACCACAGCCATGGACAGCATCAAGGAGATTATGGCATCGGCATATGGTATCTACAATGCCTTCCTAGCTCCCGGATCACCATGCGAGCTCAACATCGATCACCAACTGCGAAACAACCTGGCAACGCGGATGACCAAGGCTGTCGGACAGGACGTGGCCATGATCGACACTCTCCAAGAGGTGACGTCTCTGTTCGAAGACGCCCAAAATGCCGTGTTCAAGCTGATGGCCAGTGTAAGTTTGGCTAACGCCAGCCCCCAAGCCCCCACGATGCCCGTTCTCGGACACGCCGACTGACAAGCAAAACAGGACTCTGTACCAAAATTCCTTCGCAGCCCCAAGTACGAGCAACAGCTGCGAAACTACGAGTTTGACCTTCTCGGCCGGGGGCCCGAACGGAGCCAGAGCAGATCAAACCGGAAGTAGGGGCCGATGCTAGAGGTTCCGATTCCGAAAACCGACCCGCCTTTCTAGTGAGCGAAGCCGACCGACTAAGGGCCTGGGCCTCGGGGCTACAGGACCCTTGCGGGCACGACTCACCCATTCACACCATATGCCTCACTTCACGAGTCATTTGCATACAAACCATTGACTGATTTGGCTACCAAAGTGTTTGCCACTGTCGAAACGATACCACCTAGAGCCACCCCATCTCCTGCATCATCGGTGTTTTTGGTTTTTTTTCTTGGTAATTTTTGCTCTATTGTTTTTTCCCTCTCCAATGACCATCCGGCAACGGTCTCTCCGCCTCGGGCGCCTCCGACCACACCTCTCGGCCGCTTCCTAGCCTCCCAGGTTACCGGTGCCGAGCCGGACACAGATCTGCCGCGGTGCTATATTGGTTCTATGAAGATTTTTTCGTTACTGCTTTTCTGGAACCTTGGAGGCGCCCGCGGGTAGACGTTTCTGGTATAAGGTGGCGGAAGAAGAATTACACGGCCGAACATGGGGTGGGCACAAGGCAAAGATTGATCGTCATGATGTAACGACGCATCCCGGCATCTGCCAAAGGGTGATTAATCGAGTCAACTACTCAATCAAGAGCAGACAAAAGAAAGGGGCCTTTACAGGCATACGCATAGGAAAGGTGGACGCATTGACGACCAACGGCCGAGAATGCGAAAACAGAACATGACGAGGGATGGATTGGATGGGACGAAGCGCAAAAGACGTCCTTTAAACAAAAAAATTCGGCGGCATTTTATCCTTTTTCTCAATTCTTGTTGTTTTATTTGACCCTTTTTTTTTTCTAACTTGTTACGGCTTAACGGGAATCATGTTGAGAGGCCGAAAGTAATGCATTGCATTGGAAGGAGTCGGGTACACGGCGGGCCAGCGCTGAATACAATTGTACATAGAAAAAGAAACCTGGGCAGCCTCTCCTCGAGCTCTTATCGAGAGAAGTATGGAAAGGAAGAAATGACAAAAATGAAGCCATCCTTGATGTGATCTGGATCTGTGTCTTGGTGGTGACAAAGTATGTGACCCGCTGACATTGTCGGTGAAAACCTGCAACTCAAGGGATGATGATGCCAATGAAAACCTGGCCGAGTGACTATGAATCATGACTTGTCTTGGAACGCGGCAGTTGTTGGCATGGATGAGATGACCGGGACTATGGGTCGGATAGAGACCTGACGGTCTGGTAGAGAGTTGACTTGGTGCAAATTGGAATGCTCAGCGGGTGGTTTGACAAGTCCAAGAATGTTGTGTTTCCGAATCGTTAGAGTCAAAAGATGATGGTTCAATAGCACGCGATGCGCTACCAATGGGAGACTGAGGCTTGTTTCGAGACTGATGGCATGAACTGGGTGCTTCTATTGCTTGTTCCTGAGACCTTGGCAGATGTCGCGATGGTCGAGGCCACAACGAAGGGTGATTGAATGTCTTCTATTATTAGACTAGATGAAGAAATTAGGCAAATTTTTTGCAAGATCTGCACTAGTATTTTCACAATTCCTTGATAAAATTTGCTCTAATTTTACAATGATCCCTAGGTTCGGCATCTTCCTTAAGGTTAACATAATCTGGAGAGAAGTCTCGAGTTGGTGATTGGTCAGATCGCGAGGGCCGACCTTGAGGGTGAAGCGACAACAACTCATCCCTGGAATCGACCGGCATAATGATTCACTGTACAATATTGAAACCAGCATAAGAAAAGAAAACAAAGTCTATAGATAAGAAAAAAATCTTACACGTCCCAAAGATAGCCATCTCGAATATGATGATGAGCAAGCCACGCTCAGTCTTCATCTCGTACCTGCATCCTCCTCGCATAAAGGCTGAACAACAACAAGTAGAAAAAAAAAAAAGAAAAAAAAAAAGGCTTTGTTTAGGGTAGATACAACACGAGTCGAAACGGCTTTTGGTTATTATTATTCCAAGACATGTCGAAGAAAAAAAAAAGCCCCGTTTTCCTTCAAGGGAGACTCATTTTGCCCTGTCTCAGCCAACCACCCTCATCCAGCTTCGAGACGACCGCCTGATACTGAAAATAATATCACTCTCTTTTCTTTCCGTCTTGGCGATGGGCTGTTTGGTCAAGTTTCAAGCCCGTTGTTGCTGCAGGCGTTCAATAATTACAAACGCCATCAGGAACAAGAGATATGAGTTACGCAACACCACCTTGACAAGTTTTTCTCTCTCTTTTCGTTCCTCAAAAAGGTGGTTGGGAAAAAGGGAGAGAGTTGTAGATATTCGGTCAAATACAATTCGGGTCTCGGCTCACGTCCAGACCTTGTGATGATATTCGAAGGAATGTTTTTTTTTGTTGTTGTGCTTTTTTACCAGTCAAGACCTCCTCGACTCTTCTCTTTCACCTGCCAATGTCTCACTGTTTCCCCTCCCTTGAATTGGTGGCCTCATCTCCCCCTCCCTTGCGTACTGGAATGATACGGGCTGACCATCGTGATACGAAGGCTTGTTTACTATTCTTTGGTGACGGGATTGGCTGAGAGACTTTGTCTCAGCCCTCAGGGGGAGAAGGAGGAGGAAAGGGAGGGCCAAGGAGCATTTCCTCTCCGTTGGGGAGTCCTCGGATTAGAGATAAAAGAGGCCATCGTCGACGTCCAGAAATCGATTCTTTCCTCACCACTCTCATCATCTCAAGCATCATTCGTCTTTTGAGCCTCTTCGGTTTCAATCCCACACTCGTTCAATCAACTCTCGCCCAAGTCACTCGCTTTTGACACCAGCTACCTTCCATTCCTTGCAAAGCATCTTGCCTTTCGCACTTCTTCCGAAACCCCTTTTCAAAGAAATCAACCAACAAAACCTTCAAAATGTACGCCCAGAACGCCGTCGTCCTCGCCCTTGCTGGCTTCGCCGCTGCCCAGACCACCACCACTCCCGGTCCCGTCCCTGTTCCCACCGGCTCTTCCAACGGCACCATCACCGTCACCAAGGTGTACGACGTCTACACCACCTACTGCCCCGGCCCCACCAGCTTCGTCTTTGGCGGCAAGGACTACGTCGTCACTGAGCCTTGCACTCTGACCATCACCGACTGCCCCTGCACCGTCGTCGAGACTCACGCTCCTACTTGGATCCCTCAGCCTCCCCCCGTCGTCCCCGGCTGCCCTGGTGGTGACCACTGCCCTGAGCACCCCGTTCCCTCGAAGCCCGGAAAGCCTGTCCCTGGCCACCCCCACGCTCCCGGATGTGAGGGTGATGAGTGCGAGTACCCGGAGCATCCCGGCAAGCCCGTCACCCCTGAGCAGCCCGGAAAGCCCGTCACTCCTGTCCAGCCCAGCAAGCCTGTTGTCCCTGAGCAGCCCGTCAAGTCTGGAGTTCCTTGTGAAGGCGATGCCTGCTCCACCACTGGTGACAACACCAAGGGCTCTACTCCCAAGACCAGCGACACTGCTTGTGAGGGTGATGACTGTGCTCCCGTCATCGTCAACGGTGCCGGTGCCATCCAGCTCAGCCTCGGTCTCGCTGCCGTGTTCGCCCTCTTTGCTCTGTAAGCTCTTCAACTCAAGATAAGCACCATTGAGCTCCAAGAGCGTGAAGCAGCTGTTCAGATGGCACGAGAAAAGCATTTTGCCTGTCTACCGCCTCTGATTGCATCTGACGACCAAAACACGCCATGATTCATCACGAGCGCGCAACGACACTTTTTATTCTTCGATTCTTTTTTTTCTTCTTCTTCTTCCTCCTAGAGGAGTAATGATCAATTGGTAGTTTCTGTGGGATTTTCTGCACTCGAATTTAGACCGTGAAGGAGAGGGGAGCTTCATTTCACCGGCCTCTCTTCTCACCTTGAGAAGAGGGAGGGAGGAAGAGAGACCATCTATTCCGGGGTTTGGGAGTTGTTGATCTCCTGAGCTGGCTCTCTTTCCTGGTCTTGTTATCAGGCAAGGGGGTATGCAAGGGAAGAGGGGGTTTCTGTTTTGGTTTCTTGGTAGAAGGGGAGATTCGGAAGGCATTTGCATTGCTAGGAGATGATTTGTATCGTTCTTGTAGATACGCAAGGTACCAGACGCAATTTTATCATTATGCCCTTAAAAGATGTCTGGTTCTGTCCATCGTTGACGTGAACCGCTCAATCTCATCCTCGTGGCCGCCCATTCTTCGTTTCTTGGTCCGAAAAGCACATCGATTCCAACCCAAACGCCAATTTCCAACCAAAACAGATCTTCAATAGGTCGTGATCATGATTTTTCGTATTGTTGATAGGGGTAGCCCTGTTTAGTGTCGTCCAACTCGGAATGCCTCTGGTCTTGTGATGGATAGGCATTTGGTGTAGAAAACCCAAAATGATCCTGAGAGTTGCTGTTACTGTTGCTATGATACGCAGTGTTAGGGTAGCTGAGCCCTGGCTGATCTGCTCCCATCCCTAGAGGTTGCACCGGGGGGCTTATAGTGCCGTTCCTCTGCTGATAATAATCCCCCACGCTTGAAGACCGCGAGTGGCTTTCATAGGCCAGGTTCGAGCCCATCACATGCTGCCCAGGGCCGATGCCTGGAGGGAGGAGAGGACCCAACGGCGCCATTCCTGAGGATTCAGATCCCGTGGGGGTTGGCGACTGGAGGCTCCCAGGTGAGTTGGTCCTGACGCTTTGGGTGGACTGGTTGACCGATACCATGTGAGCCTTTGCGGCAAGCTTGTCGACTAGTGATCCATGTGACTTTTTGAGTGTCTTCTTGACAAATCCTGCCATGAGCATGTTGCACCGCAAATCGACATCTTCACGGAGGTAGAGTCCTGTCATGGGTGCGCCGATTCCCAACTCGACGGGTTGGGGTGGCTCTCCTGGCATGGAGCCGCCAATAGACCAGCGATCACGGATGTCGAGCCCCATGGGTGCGTAACAATGTGTCTGAAGGCCTTCAGGAAGGTCATAGAATGCGCAAGTATACGAGACCTGACCGGAAACAACACCGCCTGGAAGGTAGTCGATGCGGTCGGTGAGGGAGTACCAAACACACCGCTGCTCTTCAGCAGAAGCGTGTGGCGGAGGGGGGATTGGATGACGCTCCTTGATGAGAGGGTTGAGGTCTATCATCTCGAGGTGGTCATGGAGGAAGTCGATAACGACCTGGCGGGTGATGGTCGAGGGCAAGGGCGTGATTGAGGTGAATGTATGCCGTGTCATCTTTGGTGGTGATGCTGATGATGATGAGGGGGTGAGACTTTGGCGTGAAGCGTGATGAGCAGGAGACACCGTTCCGTTGATCAAACGGGCGCGTCAACCTGTCGAATGACAAGAAGGAACGAGTAGTAAGGAACAAGCGCGGTAGGAAGCGAGACAGTATATGAAACAAAAGCCGTGTCGTGTCGTGAAAGTTGGGCAGTCTCTTTGTTGTTGTGCAAGCTGAGTTTCCATGCATGATGACAGAGGCTTCCAAAGCAAGCCTAGGTTTCCTCTCGTAATGTGAGACCCTCCCTAGTCGCATCAAGTCGCAAGGTAAGCCACAGTCGTACCAAAGAGCTCGGGAGTTGGCCACTAGCTCCATGGCTTGGCCCAAGTGGGCAATTCATCGTCACCGCGCTTCCAAAACGACGCCATCCTTGGGGTCATCTCCCGCCGAGTCGCGAGCATCGAATCGCATGGGGCTTAGGGATATCCAATGCCGGGATAGACGAGGGCGACCTCGCTCTTTCGGCCTTGGGCAAGGCATAATGACCATCGTTAATCAAGAGGGTGAGATTTTAGTCTTGGTCGAACGTGAGGATGATGAGTGAAACGCGGCAACCAAGTCGCCGCGGGAGGAAGCCAGGCCGCGCCTTCCATCCCTGGCAAGTTGCGGCTGTGTGCGTCCGAGGTCGCGGTCTCGCGTCTACACTTACTAGCCCCGGAACCAACACTTGCCGCGCGGGCCTCGGGAGCCGCCTCATCCGGCAGGGACGCTATCTGTGTTACAACTCGGTGTGACGAAACGCCAAAACGGCAAAACACCTCTCACTCCTCTTAGACTTTGATTTTAATCATCGTAAGGTTATGATCAAACCATCCTAATATTATAGAAAATTCTCATAAAATGAGATAATATCTTGAAGGTCTTTGGCTCCGGTCTAGTTCGGCCAGTCCGTCGTGGTCATCAGCGTTGTCGATTTGAACTTGGTAATGGTGCCAGAAGGTATAAGTAATTCTTATTCGGGTCTGTCCGAAGATCGACTTGCTGCCTTGTCGAGCATCCGTCACCTGCCAGCCTATCGGACTTGAGCATTCGGGTGCTTTTTGGGATGGCCACCGCAGCAGACCGTTTTCGAAGCGGTGTATCAAATTTGGTGTTGGATGGGGATTGATGATTGTGCGGGAAATCACCAGTGGTTGATCAACATAACAGCACTGTCTTCTCGGCAGCTCCCCAAACCCTTGGCTGTGTTAGGCCATCCTCTTGAAGATAGTACTTTGAGCTACATTTGAATGGTCACATCTGAAACGCTAAAAGAACTGGGGGCCATGCAACTGTACTCAAGAAGAGAAATTGTGGTGGCTCATGACGAGCGGGTAAAGCTTCTCGTCTCAAAGGTTTGGGCAGTACAACGACACCCTAGGACAGAAAGTGGGCATCTTAGAAGAGTCTCTGATGTTATTTCTTAGAAGAATTAGTCATAACTTTGAAGAGAGTAAGGTAACTCCTAATAAGAATAAAGAAAGTCCAGTCCTAACTCGAAAGACAGATGCTAACTGAGGTATAGGGTGATTCACGTTCCTGGGTATATATGCTCAACAGTAGACGTATATAAATTGCTAGTTCTTACGGAAGAAGAAGTATTATTCCTCCATCAGTCTTAAATAGTCATTACCCTCATGATATTTCGCTCGTAGAAATGAATGTCCGCCACCATGACCCTGATTGACCCATGTTATTCATCAAATATCCACCCAACCATGTCCAATCCTCAATACTCCAACGCCGCTATACCATACTATACTATGCTATCAAATGCAGATGTCTACTTCTGCTTACCCATGTCTTCCTCGCTCTCGACAAACATGCTCTTCCTCAGTGGACTCGCCGACGACTTTGCCGAGAGATAATCACCGCCCGAACTCTCCCCTGCGGTTGGCGGAGACACTGGTGTTGGAGATACCAGTGCTGGGTCGCCGGGTGGTGACAAAGGTGTCGGCTCCGAGCCCGGTGAAGGAAGAATGTCCGAGTCCGCCTTGCCAACTGGTGATGGGGACCGCAGCTGGCTGTGAGTGCTCCTAGGGCTCACAGGACTAGCCCCGAGGGTTCGGAGCTGTGCGGCATCTCCTTCTGACACACCGGACACATCAGAGGTTATACGGGAAGAGCGGCCAGCCGTAGGAGAGTCGGGGCTCGACACTCCTTGCTGATCTGTTGATCGCGAGAAAGCGCTTGTGTGTTCCGAGTACGTTCTGGAGGAAGGGGTAGAATGTTTCCGGCCCTTAGCAAAGTGGGAATGCTTCTGTATAACCTCGAGAGGAGAGAGACCCGTGTCATGAAGCTCGTGTGGTATCGAAGTGTCTATAATTGTTAGTGTATGTTGGCATGCACAGAAAAGTCTCGACTTACCAGGCATCTCGTGGATTTGTGTGTCTGGCATCTCAAGAGGAGAGCCAGGTGAACGGGGAGAAGTAGGAGCAGGTGTATCAGCATTCGAGGGAGTTGAGCCAACGCCAACAGCCCTAGCTGTCGTCGCTTCCTCCATCTCCGGGCTAGTGGGAGCATCATCAGAGGTTGTGACGGTAGGCGCCTTCTCCTGGCCGGTGCCCCTGATCCATGATCTGATGCGAGAGCCTGGATCTTCGGTGCCGTAGTCGCTGGAGCGATTCTTGAAGATTCCACGGCGACGCCAGATACAGAAGACGACAAGAGCACCGGTGACAAACATGAGCCCAAGAACAACACCCAAGACGGGTGCCACCCACTTAGGGAGACCGCCACCACCACCGCCGCTCTTATCATCGTCGTCGTCGCCGTCAGTACCATCGTTGGGAACAGTAGGCCGCCCCGTTGCGGTCACCTTTCCGTATGGCCAGTATGTCTTGATCTTCTTCATGTCGTAGTCAGTGTCGAAAACCTTTCCAAGAGCCGAAGTAGCCCAGCCATCTGCTGGAGCAGTCTTGGTTGCTCCACCCTCAGCGTCACCTCCAATCTTGGACTGGATGGCCTCATGGACGCCATAATCACTGAAATCGGCCGGGTCGTACGACTCCAACCAATCTCCGCTGGTAAGATTGAAGTTCAAGACTGGTCCTTTGTCAAGACAGGTGAGAGCAACACCAGATTGGGACGTGTAGCCGCCAAAAACCATCATCTGGTCGGGGTATGGCATGAAGCACTTGTGTCCCGCACGAGCATGCAGGTTGGTCCCCTTGTTAATCTGGGTCCAGGTGAAGGAAGGGATAGAAAGTGCCCAGACTGCATCGTTGAAGGGCTCCATCGGATGGAGGCCATCGTACCCTCCGTACCAGTAGATGTTGAAGCTCGAGCGATCTGAAGCTGGGGCGACCACAGCGCAGCCTCTCGTGAGGGCGCCTGGGCCATCTTTGGTTTCCTGCTTGTACCACTTTTTGCCATCAATGTCGTAGATATCGATTTCCTCCATGAATACGGGACTTTCTTTCTCCTAGAGACAAGCATCCAGTGTTAGTACACATAGAATTGCGAGGGGTAAGATGCGCTGATCACTTACACTGGCATCCTCATTTGCTGACTTGCGGGCACGACCGGCCCATTCGGGATACACAACGCCGCCGAGGACGACGAGAATACCCTTCTTACCTACGGGGACCCAAACAACCTCAGGATTGGCACGTCCTTTGACACTGGGGGGAAGAGTCGTGTTGGTCCATTTCTCATCAAGTTGCTCCGCCATATCGAGGGTGATGAGCGTGTTGGAGACATTGGTGGCCTTGGCAGTCGCATCGTTGGTGAAGAAAGGACCCCTTGATGGAGACCTCAACCCCGAGAAATACCAAGCCAGGTTCTCTGATGGCGCACTGACAGCTCCTCCATAAGCAATGTATCGAGTCACCTTGTCGCCAAGTTTGCGATCATTGAAGCCGCGATCCCAGAGAGGCTTGTCCGGGCCATATGCATAAGCCTGATAAGTCAGAACCTCGTCCGCGTCGGGAGGTTCGTAAACTTGATCGTTCTTCAAAAGGTCGCCTCCGTAAAGGTAGAATTGGGCATCGTTGTAGAGCAAGCCGCCGTCGAGGAAGTTGGGTGCGGCGCCATTGCTGTTTCCTGAGCCTCCACGGGCCTTAGACATGGCTTTGTTGACGAGGATGCCAGTGACATTGGTATCCTTATCGAAGGGAGTGCTCAAGTTGTAGTTGAGAACGATACCGCCATTGTTTCCTTTGAACGTTAGACATTGCGCGATGAAGATATGAACCCAACTTACCTTTGTCAATAGCACCTCCTAGTGTGCCATCGCTCATGTGCGGTGTCCAGTAGATGTTGCCGCCATCAAGATAGATCATGTCCCGAATGACGGCAGCTATTTACATATTAGAACGACTCGGTACAATGATGAGGCTTGCTTACCTCTTGGTTGCATCCAGACACATATCGAGGTGCCTATTTGCTTATCCTCCCAGCTTGAAAACTGGGCGACGGCAGGGCACACGGCCAAAGCCAACAACGCCCAGGTCGCACCGTATCCAGGCATCGTGACTGCGTTCAGAGCGGTTTCGGATGTTGTCGTTCAGCGCAGGCGTTCAAGAGAAATTAACTGCAGGGAAATCTAGTGGACCATGGCTTGTCCTTGACCCATGGGTCTGGTCCCCAAGTGTCCGCCTCCCAACGCTCAACTGGGGATGCGGAGGCTGACCGGGTATCCGCCGGGAAAGCCGACACCTATAGATGGCAAGGCTGCTTCGGGAAGGTAAGTTAGACCCCAAAAGAACAAAGGCAGCCTTGGTTCGGTCGAGAATCAAGGGCCAAAGCGGCTTGGTTTCAGGGTAGGCGTGAGCTCGTAGGTGAAGGCGAGCGAGTAGCACCAGAGTCAGTTCGCCAGAGTAAGATGGAACCTCAATGCAAGCAACTGGGGAGGGTCAGAGGAAAACTGTTGTGCAGAGGACCCAAAGGGGAGGTAAGAATCGACCAGAGGACCCAGTGGTAGGGCATTCGCCACTGTAGCGGGTTGAGATCGGAAAGAATGGGAAACATAGGGCTGAGTAGAGCTTCTGTTATGCCCATGTTCGCAAAGAGCACCCTCGTGGCACACCGGCCAGGCCCAGGGAGGAGCACGGAGACTAGGCTGGCCCAGCAGGCATTCTAGCCCATGCCACCCTTTGCCTCCATGCATGCATCGGGGGGGGCACCATTTTGGGGAAGGTTGTTGCGAGGGTACATCATGACCAGCCATTGGCCATCCACACTGGGGGCACGACTTGTGGCAGGGCATCCATCTCTGGGGTGGGACGGGAGAGCCTCGAGAGAGGGACGACGGGGTTGGGATCAGCCAGATCCATGCATTGACTCAGCCTCAACTGGGCTGGACGGAGGCTGATGGGATATCCCACCAGTGGGCGGGTTCAAGTGCAAGCGCGTGCAAAGCTGTTGTGTCGTGGCGAGAGGGAAATTTCTCACGGTGGTGCCATGTGGGCATATCTAAAAGAGTGCTGACCTCAGCCTCTGTGCTCAGGGTCCCACGAGGGCGCAAGATATCACCGTTCGCACACATGGCAGCATTTTACTCTGAAAGGAGAAGCCTGCGAGCGGGTCCCTTATGCTGACAGCCAACGGTGACAGTCAAGGGTGGGAGGGGGCGCTCGGCAAGTGGAAGTTGAGCAACAGCGGGCTCTGAGTTGACGAGCCGACAATAGATTGTGGCTGTCGAACTTGTGATGGCGGCGATCTGGAGCTGAGATTGATGACCTGCCTCGTATCGATCGGGAATAGATAGATCTCGAGCTGCTAGCCAAGTTGTTAGTTCCATGAGGGTAGGCAGGTACACAAACACAAACACATGTTGGCCGACAGCAATCAAGTAAGCATCACCGCACAAAGACGAGACAGAGATGACGACGACCATGACCGTCACCACGGACATGGCCGGCCGGTCGGATCAGCTTGGGCTGCTGCACTTTGGATCGCTTGGAGAAATTGCAGAAAACGGAGCAAACTTGCAAAAGTCCCACTCACGATGGATAAACAACAAGGCTGTCTTGGCTGTTCTTGGCCTGGGCGGGTTGACATCCATGGCCGATCTCACCATCCCTGCCCTGAATAAGCCGTCGCGCTGTGCTTCCTAGAAAGGCTGAGAGACTTATGACTGCGTTAGGTAAGTAATATCGGGAGATTCTATCGTCATAGTATGATAGTTTGAGTATTATGATGAATTAACCTGGCAATTATTTGTATATTTTATCCTAAGGGTAGGGCAAAATGTAGTCAAGTTTAGGTGAGGGCTGTCCTGGGACCGCGTGCGACGAGTCCGAGCCTGCTAGCCCGGAGGCTGGAGAACAATGCGCTGCCGCGTTTCAGCCCCCAACACCACACACCCTTTGCGAGGACTGGTCGAATCGGGCTTCATTCTGCGATACAGGGGTCTGTAGAAGGAGGGTGAGCTGGCAGCCTCCTGTCGCCTCTCTCCGCTGCACTTCGGACGCAACTCATCGAGACCCCCGCAGTGAATGGGCGGACAAAAGTCGCGCATAAGACCGAGGTCGTGCCATGAAAGAAGGTTACACGAAGGCAAGGGAGGGAGGGAAGGCAGAAAGAGGACTTGAATTGATCATGAAATGGTAGCCTACATCGTGGGGAACAAAGAATATCGAGACCCGAGGAAGAATGAATAGACATGCCCTGGGCAATATTTGATCCGAGCCCCAGCCAGAGCCAGGAGGTCGGGTAGGCAACCCGTTCCCATGACTGTTGCATTCAACTGAACCAAACCGACATGCACATTCTCAATTCCAATTCCCATCAGGCCCGGCTCCCAGGCTACAGTGGGTTTCATCTCAGGTTCAGTGGAGCAGTCAGCAAAAGATGGAGTCCGAGGAAGCTTACCTTCCTCGTGAGGAGCCATGTTGCGGTCTCCGCTTCCACAGGGCTGGGCCGCAGTAAAAATTCCGCCCTGGATTGGACCAGGGTCCTCGGGCTGTGACCAATCAGAGGCAAGGAGGCCCTGACCGACAGGTTGTGGCGCTTGCCCGCCCGCCCCGTTGAAAGACGCTAGTCCGAGAGTGTGGGAGCCTACCGCGAACTGCTGAACCTCACTCACCTCTCGAGTCACCGAAAGAAATGCAAGTCTGAGCTGTTGTGATGCTGTTACGGAGACTCGAGTATAATGCTGACTCTTTGCAGTAGAAGCATGATAATACGATAGTCTTACGGTGTACGAATACTCTTCAAAGATCTTTAGGCTCTTTAGACCCTGTTTAGATATAGAAGTGGGGGAGTTAAAACAGAGCATGGTGAGATGGTGGGACCCACTTATTCCAGTCTTTTTCTCCCATGCTCTATGGTCGCCTCCACCACCATCACCACGTCCCGTCCATCACAGCCCGCGTGCCGGCGCATCATCAAGCCAGCGCCTCTGAAGCATCTCCGAGTCGCTGACAGCCTATGCCTTTCCCACAGCTCGTCGTGGCTTCCTGGTTTGCGTCTTCAACACGAGCTCTGTCCAAACCTTCACATCGTCCATCCATCCTATCTCTGCCGTGTTCGAGCCACAGCATCAATGGCGCCATGCTGGACGACACCGGATTACCTATTTTTGACCCGCAAACCTCTGCCTTTGCAATGTCACCGTCTGCGCCCGACTCGTCCACGCGGAGCTTCTAGGCTGAGCCCGCTTTGCCGGTTCCCTAAGCAGCAATTGCGTCTGTCAGATCGCAACATACATCCAACCCCGCCGAGAGAGCTGGCTTGCTGGGGGGCCTCGTTGGTGGGCTACAACGGTCATGGTCATGGATTTACCGCGTCGTCAGCAGCTCAAGGGTTGTGATGTGATTGTCACTTCTCCGCCATTTGTCGGCCCTTGGCTCTCTCTTGCTTGCCGAGCCTTGAACTCTCTTGCCCGCTCCAGCCCAGTGTCAAGGCCCCGGAACAAGGTCCTTGTCCAAGTGGACCGCCCTTTGAAGCCGTGGTGCCTGCTGGACCTGGCCCTGGCTGCTGGACCTGGGCAAATCGTACGTGCCCCGTTCAGATCCTTGCCCTCCGGGGCCATGCTCACTGCATGTGCGATGTCTAAATGCATTGTTGCTCATGCTACCTACCATGGCAAGGCCGATATCCCTCAAGGCGAGCAATCTCGGGCAAGGTACCCGCAAGGCATGGAGACTCCATTTAGCTCCATGCTGCCCTCTCACGTCTGGTCAATGGACCTTTTGTCATGTCCCTGGCTCTTTGTCCTAGTCATCCATCTCGTTCGGGTCCTGCCCATGTCCATCTTGGGAGCTCTTTAATTTGAGCTTACACTTGGCTGCTTGCGCTGTTTGATTACGTCGATCTTCAACGCCCCAGGAGGACATCCACAGCATCGAGCCGCAGCCCGGTTGCCTCCTCACCCGCTTCCCTGCCGTGTCAACAACACACGCCGGAGTGGCTGACAAGAGAGGAGATTAACACCAATTGCGGATATCGATGCAAGTGGTGCCAATCAGCTGCATCACCGGCACTTGGTACGTGGACTTGCTCAGCCCCTGGTCCAACCTTCACTCAGCCTGATCCGACCGATATATATGGTATTCGTCGGTGTTGAACGGCTTGAGATTCCCTTTCTCTCTACCTTCTGTGGTCAGCTCTGACATCTTTGGAAGAATACTTGGGTCCCGACTCTCGTTCTTTCATCACATACGTTCGCTATTGGGGCTGCCGTTCACTCGCTCGCCGCCATGCGTTTCTTGCTGATGCTCAGCGCCATGGGCGCTGCAGCTGTCAAGCTCCCAGCCAACAATGGCAACCTGCACCGCAGGGCTGTCCAGCCTGAAGGCAGCTCAAGTGTCGTGGTAAATGACGCTCCCAGTTCAGAAACAGCCCCCGACAACACGGGCTACGGGGGCGGCTATGAGTATGGCGACGTACCGGCGCCTACCACAACTCAAGTGCCGACTTCTAGTCCGGACGATGAGCCCTCATCCACCCCGAACGACTATGACACGGTCGAGGTGTCTCAATCATCTCAAGTTCAGCCGACGACATCTGTAGAGGAGCAACAGGAGGAACTCTCGACAACCTCCCCAGCCGAGAAGCTTCCCTCTTACAAGGTCTTTGATAAGCACTGCGGTTGCACCAAGACCTACACGGGTATCCCGCCTCCTGGCCCGCCAACCACAAGCAGTTCTATCTATGTTCCGCCAACCTATGTTCCGCCAACCTATGAGCCTCCGACCTATGAGCCTCCGACTACCACGTCTACCTATGTTCCCCCGACTACAACGTCTGTCGATGTCCCCCCGACTACAACATCTGTCGATGTTCCCCCGACGACTAGCTCAACCTATGTACCGCCGACAACTAGCTCTACCTACGCGCCGCCGACCACTAGTTCGACTTATGTTCCTCCGACCACTAGTTCTACCTATGTTCCACCAACTACTAGCTCGACTTACATCCCCCCGACTACTAGTTCTACTTACGTGCCGCCAACTACTAGCTCAATTGAGTCTTCATCTGACAGCTACACTGAGCCGACTACCAGTTCGGATGAGCCCCCGACCACTTCGACTGAGCCCTGGACCAGCTCAACCGAGCCCCCAACTATCTCGACTGAGCCGCCAACCAGCTCGACTGAGCCGCCAACCAGCTCGACTGAGCCGCCAACAAGCACGCCAACTACCAGCGAGACTGGAACTTGCAGCAGGGAACCGCCTACAACCGTCTACATCACAAAGTGCTATGGCTCACCTCCCAAGGAGACAGTTACCATCACCAAGGGCCACCCTTGCCCTCCTAAGCAAACAGTGACTATAACCAAGGGCTACTGCCCTCCTAAGCCCACGAAGACGGTGACGGTGACCGACAGGGTTACCGACAAGGTTACTGAGACTGTTACCGACAAGATTACTGAGACGGTAACCGACAAGATTGTTGAGACTGTTACCGACAAGGTTATCGAGACAGTGACCGAGGGCCACACCGTAACTATCACCGACGGCGAGATCGTTACCGTGACTCAGGGTCAGACTGTGACTATTACCGACGGCACCACCATTACCCAGGACCGAACTATCACAGAAGGCCAAACCGTCACTGTCACTGACGATGGCGAGATTGTTACCGTTACTGAGGGCACTACTGTGACCATCACCGATGGTATTACTATCACTCAGGATAGGACGATCACAGAAGGCCAAACCATCACTGTCACTGACGACGGCGAGATCATTACCGTTACTGAGGGCCATACTGTGACTATTACCGACGGCACCACCGTTACCCAGGACCGAACTATCACGGAAGGCCAAACCGTCACTGTCACTGATGATGGCGAGATCGTTACCGTTACTGAGGGCACTACTGTCACTCAGGATAGGACTATTACAGAAGGCCACACTGTTACGATTACCGACGATGGCGAGGTCATCACTGTTACTGAGGGCCAAACCGTAACGATTACCGACGATGGCGAAGTCATCACCGTGACGGAGGGCCACACTGTGACCATCACTGACGGCACTACTATCACTCAGGATAGGACCGTCACAGAAGGCCACACGGTAACGATTACCGACGACGGCGAGGTCACCACCGTTACTGAGGGTTATACCGTCACTCTCACCGAGACTGGCACGACAGAAACTGTTGTCGTGACTGAGGGACGAACCGTGACACTCACCGCGACCAAGCCCCCTGAGACGGTTGTCGTTACCGAGGGTGAGACAATTGTTATCACCGAAGATGGCGAGACAGTGGTTATTACCGAAGAGGGAAGGACTGTGACTCAAGCCGGAGAGACAATCGTCGTGACCGACGAGGAAACCATCACTGTGACTGAACCAGCCAGAACCGTCACGCTCGATGGCGAGGTCACAACCATCACAGAAGAGGCTCAGACAGTAACCCGAGATGGCCAGGTCACAACGCTCCCCGGAGAAACTGTGGTTGTCACTCAGCCTGGACAGGTCACAACTCTTCCTGGAAGAACCGTCGTGTCAGTTGTTACGCAGCAGGTTCCCGGACCCCGGGAAACGGTTGTTACCACTGTCACCCGAGAGGCCCAGACGGTGACCCGAGATGGCCAAGTCACGACTCTCCCTGGAGAGACTATTGTCCAAACTGTGGTTGTTACCCAGCCTGGTGTTACCCAGCCTGGTCAGATCACCACTCTGCCTGGAAGAACCGTCGTCTCGGTTGTCACCGAGCAACTGCCTGCGGAGACCGTCACCCTTACCAGGGATGGCGAGACAATTGTGTCTGTGGTCCCTGGCCCAACGCAAGTTTACACTACCACCGTGGTTGTTGCGCAAACCGTGGTCCCTCCTCCTACCACGGTCACTGTCTCGTCCGTCCTCAGCATCTGCCCCAAGCCTACAGGTCTGTCCGCGCCCCTGGCCATCGATTCCGACCGCACCTTTGGCTGCGCGCCTGGCTACGTCTGCAACCCTCCCAAGCCCAAGTCATGCGACCTCTGGTCTGAGCCACCTGAGGACGACTACCTGTGTAAGCCCCAGTACTGTATCCCTGCTCCCAAGTTCAAGAAGATCAGATGGCGCAAGAACGAGACTTCGTACTATGCCCCGTCTGCGGGATACTTCAACCTGAACCCCGAGGCCTTCGGTCTTTCATTCGACATCTTCAAGAAGGTTGAAGAGGAGAAGATTATCAACGGTACACTCACAACCATTACCACCGGTAACTGGGCTTCCCAGACGTCTTTGAGCGACTGGCCCAAGCCTACCACCACGACTACCACAATCTCCGTCGCTGAAGCCTACGACTACATCCCCAGCGCTCACCAGCGCCGTGGAATGCACATGTTCAGCAAGCGAGATGGAGTCGCCCCTGCCGTCTGTTTCGATGACTGTGATGGTGCTTACAAGATCGCTCTCTCTGTCGGAAAGTCTGACAAGCTCTGCGCCAAGGGTTCTTCTTTCATGGGCAGCTACGCGGCCTGCACAGACTGTATCACTGAAAACGCGGACGATGCCAAGACCGGCCTCCAGTCCTATGTCGAGCCCAAGTTTGGACAATTCATCAACTATTGTGAGGGTGAGGACACCAAGCCTGCCACAACTGACTCCGGCCCCGAGTCTCAGGTCACTGGCGAGCCTGATGTCGAGACAACCGGACAAGTCGAGGCCAGCTCGGGCGGATTCGATGTCCTGACCACGACCGAAGAAGATCTTGAGCCAACCACTGAGATTGTCACTCCAACCGCACCATCCACTACGGAGGGGCCTGAGGAGACTGCTGCGCCCACTTCAGCTGAGGACGATGATGAGGCAACCACAGAGATCTTCGGCCCAACTGCAGAGGCCACAGAAGAGCCCAGTGCTACTTCTGCCGAAGACGATTCCGAGCCAACTAGCCAGGCTTCTGAAGAGGCACAGGCGACCACGGAGCAGTCTGAGCCCAGCGCGACTCAACAAGAGGAAGATGCCGCGACCACCGATGATTCGGACTCAGTCACTGCAGCATCCGGACCTACCTCGACTCAGCAAGAGGAAGACGAACCCACAGGTTCTGTCGCGGCTGACGCTGTAACGACAACAGAGGACTCGCAGGCCAGTGTTACGGCAGCGTCCGAGGATGAGTCTTCGGTTGCTGCTGAAGCTACTGCGACGGATGATGACGAAGCAACTGAGGAGACCTCGGCGACTGACGGAGCTGAAGAGACAGCAACCGGTGGGTCTAGTAACTCGGAGGCCCGCGAGTCTGATGCCCGTGAGTCTGAGTCTGAGTCTCCAGAGACCACCGCTACTGTGACAACGGCTGCTCGGCCAAGCGGTTCTGTCGAGGCTCTCGGCACAGAGGCTACTGAGACTGGGGCCGTTGAGACCGACGCTTCTGCTCTTGGAGGCGAGGCTACTGAGACTGAGGCTACTGCCACAGGCGCTTCAGCTGGCAGTGAGGCAACTGCTACAGGCGCCTCAGCCGAGGGTAGCAAGACTACCGAGACCGAGGCCGCCGGAACTGACGCTTCTGCCCTTGGAGGCAAAGCCACCGAGACAGAGGGCACCGAGACAACCGTCGAGACGGGCGCCTCAGCTCCTGGAGGCAAGGCTACCGAGACCTCAGAGCGCCAGTCACACCTTGAGACGCGCACTTCGGCTCTTACCGGAGCGACAACGACACCTGCCACCGTTGAAGGAGCTGCCTCTCGCATCTCTGCCAGCTTGGCATCTGTCGTCGCCCTTCTCTCGATGGCGGCGGTCCTATTCATTTAATTTTCGACGACACCCCCTTTTTTCAACTATTCATGACACTCCTTAAAACTAATGTCTATTGGATGACGACATGTTTACATTTACGATTCACGGACACTCATTTTTGCATATACAACGACCTGGGCGCATTTAGCATTTTTGGCCATTTGGCATGACCACGACACTCATTTCAGGCGCATTGTTGATACACATAGAGGGAACCTTTTGAATGATACCCTGACACTCCTTTACATGTGGGAGAGCAGAAGATGGAAAGTTGAGAAGTTTGAAAAGACTGGGAGGGAAGCTTGCTTTGGTTGCGATTGGATGGTCAGAGGGGACCGGGATATAATCAGACATTGAGATGGATGTCATGGCATGGATGGGCGAGACTGTTGCGTTATATAAAGCTAAAATGGTATTTTGTGCTGCCGCCGCTTTGGTGAGCTGATTTTGCAACTTGGCCTTCTGATACTGCTTGTGAATGTGTGTCGTTGTGTCCGCCTGCGAAGATGGCATACTATGTCCGTCGATGGATAAATGAAAGGCGACGATGGACAACGTCGCCGACGTCAGACAGACGGGACCCTCACCTACCTTTTCTCAGTCCCCAGCCCAAGATACATGTCCACTAGGGGATAGAGACTGCATGATCCTATCATATTCTCGTAGATCCAACCGATGCAAGCACTCATACAATCCTCGCCATCACGCTAGTAGTCATTGGTGGGTGTTTGATCCATCATCCGCCTCTCCGTTACAGTTTGTTGAGTGTGTCTTGCAATTGAGACATGCAATTGTCAAACTGTGAACGAGATTTAATTGTAAGCTACAACACAAGAAATGAATTGTCAGCCAACAAATATCAAGCACGAGGCTTCTGCCTCTGATGCCTTCCTGTAATGCGAGCTAGGATGCCTAGCCATGGATCAGGTATAAGTACCTGACCTGGCCCTAGCTAACACCTTGATCTCTCGCCTTGACATGCCAGAATAATCTCTGCTACTCAGCAGATCAAGTACACCTCGACTGGGAGACCCAACTTATTATCCGCCAATAGACGAGTGGCCACTCTAACCTTTATATATATACCCATTTACGGTTCGATTGCTACCTGAGAGCCGAGAAGCGGGATGTGGTTCCTGCAAGGCTCTAATATATAGAGCACTCGCTCTATGGTTCAAGAGAACAAAAGACCGAGCTAGGCCTTTGGCATTGTAAGTCAGTGAATCATAAAACCCACGCACTATCGATAGTTCAAGGGGCAAGACTGGTTCGGGACCCTGATAGGGCCTATATAATATATTAATCCGGGAAGAATAGCCCGGGAGTCATTGCCTTAAGGGCAGGGCGAAAGAGCTGAGCATTATTCGGGACGACACGATCCCGCCCTTAGAGGACTTCTTTTCCTCTTTGACGACTGGCACCCATGTCAACCGAGGATTATTATACTAGGTTTACGGGGATCTATACCTATGCTATCCCCAAGTATAATACGACAAAGCGCTCCTCTGGGTGCCCAAGCATATGGTGGCTCCTTACGCTGAGTCTTCCTCTGAGGCTCCCCGACCCTGTGGTAGCAGAGACTCAGCCTTCCACTGCGGGACCAAGACAACTTTCCTCACACAATTTTCGCGAAACAAGTTTCTACTTCTATCATATCTTTAAGCATTGGGTTACCTTCTATGTTAAGGGTAGCCTTAAACCTAAATCGACATCTACTTCTTCTACTACAGGTTCCTTTGGGAGGACGCTTGCCCTCACAGACCCCCAATCCCCTGCTTAGTACTGGCCAATATTCGAGCCTGTGTCGTCAATTGTGATAAATCACTTCATGGCGTATTGAAGAAAGCACATCTTTAAACACAACCTGCCCCTATCACCGTTGACGATACTGTTCCAACCTCGGGCAACGATGAAAATGTTAAGATGTCAGATGCCGAAGCACCACCTTCCCCTACCACAGACCACGGGTAGGGACCGAAATCCCCCAGGGGTCACGGGAAACGGCGTTATTGACCGAGAAGACTGGGGCCAACTCTAGTTGCGACGTAGTCACGTTGCTACGCAAAGAACTACAAAGCTCTCAGCCCTCTCCCTTCATATAGAGGACTTGTTCGGCAACTGACGAAACGAATATATATTGCGCTCCATCACCGCACTCCAGAACTGGGCACTCACGCGGCTTGAACCCAGCTGCGTTGTTCCCACCAGACTTTCCCCACTCGGCAGAAGACGTTTCAGCGGCATCACTCCAGAACTGGATCATTGATCTGGGTATCAAAGTTGACACCCGTTATATACTACTCACAGCTGTTTCCCAAAAGGAGGGAACGAAAGTAGCCTGGGGCTCGCATATAATGGAGGGACCTGACGAACTGATCGTCTTAGCCCTTCCAGGAATCCAAGCGTACGACAACTGGATCTGGGTATACAGGCTATTGTTGCGTTCCTATATATACACAAGGCCGGACCAAAAGGCCGAAACTATCACATAGAGAAGTAGGGTTTCTATGTGCTGGAGATGCTGGATTGAAGTTCTCGTTCTTCATCAACCTCGCTGGACTCGATATCATGAAGTTTTCAAGCTCTCCTGAGATATACACCTCATTCGATTCACTTCTACGGCCCGAGTGAAGCACAGTATGACCCCGCCGCCTGAAATACAACTGCTGCAATAGATTACCGAGTGGCTGCGATGAGGGATAGATATGATTTAGGACTGGAGACTTAGAGACTGGGCTGTGCTTAGGGCCCGAGTACTCCTAAATCTTGGACAACCTTGCATAATTCCCATTCATTGTTCAAGGAGCTTGTGATTACCTCTTTTCAATTATGTACTACGACTTAGAATAGCCATTATGGCAGGTCCAGCTTCGCCCCCAACATCTAGGTACCTGTCTCCCTCAAACAAGGATAAGCAAAGCTGTGAGAAAATACAAGATGGAACTTTTCATGGCTATCAACGTGCTTCATTTGTGATTCATACACATTCAAACCTCCACGAGCTGATCATCCTCATCTTCAACTTCCTCTACCCGTCCATTGGTACCCTCAATCAACTTGACATCCTCCTTGCTTTCATCCTTGCCCTCATCGGCCTCATCACGTGCCAATACCTGCACAAGTCGCTCACATGCCTCCTGAACACCCTCGTCCTCAACACGCAAATGTGTTTCCCGAATAACGGGATATACCTTGACACGGCGCATGAGATCGCGACCCTCTCTTGTTGTTGTTAGCAGAGTTAGTGTCTCGACGTGGGTCTGGATGTTCTTGTGGTCCGAGTCTCGCTTCTTGTCCGGTGGCAGCAGTTGCAGGTCTGGCAGCATGTCCATGCTCTCGTCGACGTCGTACTCCTCGTTGCCCATGATTGGGAGTAGGATATAAGGCAAGATATCAATCTCGTCCTCAGAGAGGAAGGAGGGGTGTGATGATGTCTCAAAAGCAACGTTCTTGATGGTGCTGGCAACGCCCTTCCTCCGGATGTCGGACTTGTGCTCGGTAAAGACCTTGAGCTTGGTGATGGGGATGACATCGTCGTATTTTTGCACTTGGAGGAAGTGCTTGCGGATGTCGGAATGCTTGGCGAGATCTGCAAAGACGTAGGCGAGGTAGTCAAAGTCCGCCTTTTTGTTGTATGAGCCGTCCTGACCCTTGACGAAGAGGTCCATCAGCTGGTTGAGGACAACATCGTCTGAGCCTAGCTCTTCAGGAGCCTGCTGTTTCCTCTTGAGAACTTCCTTGAAGTTATCCCACTTGGCCAAGTTGGCGAGGAGCATGGCTAGGAGGTTGGCATTGGGCTCCTCAGGGTTCTACTTGGTGGGTTAGCTAGTGTTTATACACATAATATCGTGAATGATTCGTGCGCACCACTATCCGTCGGAATACGACATCGAGGAATTTCTCATCTGTTGCTAGGTTCTCAAGAATCTCTTGATCACCCGACAAGTTGACCAGAATTGTCACAGCATGCTCAGATATTTTCTGCGACATGGCGTTAGCACTGAGTTTCTCGTAAAGTCCCTGACAAATTCCACTCACGGGGTGATCTCGAATCAAGATCTTGAGGTTCTTCACAGGCTGGAGTTGTGAATCCTTGAAGATGTTGGGTTCCGCAGTCGAGTACGGCACCAAATTCTCGACGGCAACTTGGCGAATCTGAGGGTGAGGGTGGGCGATGAAGCCCACGAGCTGCAGAGGCCAAAGTTAGTGGGTGACTACATGAAAATCGCGCAAAGAGAAGCATACTTCTTCTAGCTCAGTTGGCATCTTGCTGGTATCTTGGATATGTGGTTGAAGGAGTTTTCAACGATGGTGGTGATGATTTTTGGAGGGGCAATTTGATAGTGGGGCAGACGCCTGAAGTCATCGCTGCTTCAGTGGGCTGGGCGTCATTGCCGGTGACTCTTTCAGCGGGACCCACAGGGCAAAGAAGTTTCCAAGGGTCTCCAGTGTCATCATGGTGGCGGGGCAGAATTTTAAATAGAAGTTGGTAGAAATGAGCGATGAGAAGTGCATGAAGGAACTCGGATGAGATAGAACTTGTCTAGGTGAGTTTATCATGGGATTAATAGCACTGAATCACAGTTGACTCTTTTATTTCTTATTCTCTTCCCTCACTGATGGACTGCTATGATGTTGAACTTCTTACTTAGCATGACTTCTTCTAAACCCGCCCCTAGGTAGTCAGAGATGATTATATTTATTTTTGGATCTATGTGTACCGAGCCGGAATGAGCTACAGTGATCCTAGTATAAGTCTCCTTTCCCGTTCAATATGGAGTTCTGTTTGTATGAGCTCTAAGCTGGTCTTTTCCACATCCAAAGACACTCCACACAATGTCTTTAGTCAACGACTTAAACAATCACTAGGATGAGAGCTAGGCAAAGTCAAATAAAGCCCTCTTAACTCGAATTTCTATAACCTCCAACTCATTTACACGTCTCCTCCAGGCGAAGGAAGGGAAGCGTTCTGATATCAATTCGGAGCCGGCAAACCAATTACCCGAAGAATGATTGGCGCTGACTGAAGGCGGTGAGGCACCATTTTGAGCTCACCAAAGCGCTATGCCTAAATTAGAAAGAGGGGTGGTTATCGATAAGGCACAAAATTTTGAAAATCTACTCTGCCTCTGATACTCCAAGCCCACATTGTGTGTGTGTGTGTGTGCCCATCCCAAGACAAGACGCCCAAAATGCCCAAGGCTACCACTCCCTTCGCCTCGCGGCAGACGCGACGCCATAACCCTCTCGAGGATGATATCACAGCCACCGGCATTCTCAAGAACAAGCCATCCAAGAGGCGATCGACTGGCGGCGACAACGAGGAGGAAAACTTTGTCGATGACCGCGCTTCGAGGACCATTCTTCGGATAGGTCGTGAATTGGCCGAGGAGGAAAATGCCGGAAAGGTTGTCTCCAAACCCACTATCGATACTTTTGGCTACGATTCGCGATTTGACGACGAAGCCGAGGACGAGAACAAGGTTTACGACGATGACGAGGCTTGGGGTGAGGATGATGAGGTTGTGGAGGAGATCGAGGTTGACCCGAATGACCTCGACATGTACAAGAAGTTCATGCCGGATGAGGAGGATGACCTGCTTAAGCACGGTTGGGATCGTCAGCCATCGGGGGAGGAGCAGGGTGACAGCATCAACCTCGCGGATCTGATCCTTGAAAAGATTGCTGCCCACGAAGCTGCACAGGCGAGACGAGAGAACAATCTGGGTCCCCCCGATGACGAATACGAGCTGCCCCCCAAGGTCATTGAGGTCTACACCAAGTGAGTCAAGACTTCCAATAATAACAAGAGTCAGAAGCTAATGAATCCAGGGTTGGACAAATCCTCTCTCGATACAAGTCCGGTCCTCTGCCCAAGCCCTTCAAGATCCTCCCAACCATCCCTCATTGGGAGGATATCATTGAGGTGACCAAGCCCGATTCCTGGTCCCCCAACGCCTGCTACCAGGCGACGAGGATCTTTGTTTCGAGCAAGCCCCACGTTGTGCAGCGATTCCTCGAGATGGTTATCCTCGACCGTGTTCGTGAGGATATCTATGAGACCAAGAAGCTCAACGTTCACCTCTTCAACTCTCTCAAGAAGGCCCTTTACAAGCCCGCTGCTTTCTTCAAGGGCTTCCTGTTCCCCCTCGTCGGAAGTGGCACTTGCACGCTGCGAGAAGCTCATATTATCTCGGCTGTGCTGGCTAGAATCTCCATCCCCGTTCTTCACTCCGCCGCTGCTCTCAAGGGTCTGTGCGATATTGCCGCCCAAGAGGCTTCACACGGCACCGAGGGAGGTGGTGCTACCAACATCTTCATCAAGACTCTCCTTGAGAAGAAGTATGCGCTACCCTACCAGGTCATCGACGCCCTGGTGTTCCACTTCATGCGCTTCCGAAGCGTTGATCCTGCCTCTGTTCACTCTGGCGATGCTATGGCGGGTCTGATTGAGGGAGATGCCAAGGCCAAGCTGCCCGTCATTTGGCACCAGAGTCTGCTCGCCTTTGCGCAACGCTACAAGGGAGATGTCACAGAGGACCAGCGTGAGGCACTGCTGGATCTACTCCTGACGCATGGTCACTCGGCCATTGGCCCCGAGGTGAGGAGGGAGTTGTTGGCTGGAAGAGGCCGGGGTGTGCCGCTTGAGCCCCAAGGACCGGCTCTGGATGGCGATGATACCATGGTCATTGACTAAGTCGAGGTCCAACCTTGATCTTGTTTCAATGCCCCTTTCCTAATGAGTGAAGACAAACATGGCGTCTGGCGCATCAAAAGGGTTTCGAGCTGGTTCGACTTGAGATAGATTTGACTCTGTAAAATACGGAGGAGCCCATTTCGATACCAATTTATGTGATTCATTTTCTGGAACAGAATGTACCCATTACTCATTCGGTGATGTCGATTTAGTAGTGATGTCACTTTGAACGGAAGGAGTGAGATGAGGCAGAGGCAGAGGCAGCTTCCGCTTTCGCTCCGGGAACTTAGATCACGATCAAGAGCCTCAGCCTCTTCCACCTCCAAGTCCCTATCAACCACGATAAACCTACAAAGAAGTTCTACAATGCAGTCCTCTCGCATGGATTGACCCTCATACATCTTCAGATCGCCCCCTTTACCTCGGTTCTTCAGTTCAATCCTTCGCTTCGACTCTTCGCTTTAGTCTCCTCTCCTGTCTTCTTCTTCGGCCATTCTTTACGACTCTTCGATTCTACTATTGCTTCTACATCCACGGGATGCTTCATCATATGCCGTTGTTTTCGGCAGCTTCCATCAAAGCATTCCTCCATCCACGGAGCCTTGCTCCGGTTCCATCATGCCCCCGACAGCGACGCCTTTATCGGACAATTCGCTGCCAATGAGTACTCGCCTCGACGCGAACGAGATCAAGTACGAGATCAGTAAGGCTGAGGAAATGAATCTCGCTAACTATCGCCAGCTACTTCAACCTCCCCTTCCCGCACCAGGCCACGCCTCCTTTCGTGTCGGTCTCGTTTCCAACGCCAAACTTGGACGGCTCGATGAAGCACCAGCCAAGCCTTCCTTCTATGCCAGAGAATGCATTCACCAACTACCTACCTTCGTCAGATATTACACCTCGCCCAATCAAACAACCTCGAGCCTCAGTTTCGGGCTTTGGCGTTGACCCCCCACGCCCTCCTCGCGATGGATTCGAGTAGGTATGGTTCCCGCAGGGCTACTGGGCAGAGCGTCAGGTCATGACGCAACGGAAGAGCAACTCTGGTAAGAGTATCTGGAAATGGCGTAACCGGTCCACGAAATCTGCCAGTGAATCCGACGCTCGAGAAATATCCTTTGCGTCGCCAATGACATCCATGTCGGTACCGCCCAACTTCAAGCCCTTTGAACAACCGTCAAGGAAGCCTACCAGTCCTTTTGTGTCCGAATCAGCTCACGTATTCTCCTTACAACATCCCTCTACTTTACGTCTATCAACAGAGGCTCGCGAGGCCCGCGAGTCCAGCTCCGTGTCTCCTGGCATGGGAAGTTCCAGTTCGATCTCGCCAATGTGCGCTGCAGACACAGTTCGAAAAGCAAGCACGGTGCCCTCCTCACCATCAAGCACCATAGGGCTGTATGGCAAAGCGAAGAAGAGCATTGAGTCCAAATTAAGATTCAGGACTCGCAAAGAGGTACTTGAGCTCCAGGCACCAATAATAGGGGAGAAAACTGACAGAGCCAGCGGTGTACATGCCCCCCAATCCCTGAGCATGAGCGCCCCCCCTCGGCCACCATGGACGGAGCCGGAAACTACCACAGCATTCACCAAGTCACAAAGTCAGGAACTTGGTTCAAAGATGACCTTGGGAAGGTGAAACTTCGACGGAAGTTCTTTAGCAAGGCTCCATGGAGTAGGAAGGAGTCTAATGATTCATACAGTAGCATGGCTAGCTCCATGAGAGAAACCCTTCAAGGTAAGGCACCTCCTACATTACCCTCTCTAGCCATACTTGTATTGCCCTTCATTTGTTACTTGGCTTTGGAAATAGCAAGATAACTAACAGGACGACAGTGCGGGTTGACCGTGTTAATAATCAGTACCCTAGAGGGGTGAGTGTTCAGCTTGCTTCAGGGCAACAAAGAGGTACTGATATCTTCGCCTGCTACAGGAAGCCGTCCGGATCAAGACTCCTCCATTGGGTGAAGATACGGCCAGTGGAAGTCCGCGCTCATTCTTCACCGAACTGGTGCCTCCATTCGAAAACGACACTGTTTCTTTTCTGCCCGGACCTTCAGCGAGGCGTAACTCTCTCCAAACTGTTCGCCGTAGAAGCATCACTCCACAGGTGCGTGAGTGGTGGGAACAGATACCCCAAAGGCCCGAACAGGATCCTTTTGCTCAGGTACCTACTTTTGAGTTCCAAGTACCTGAGCATCTCCCAAATAGTCCAATGTGCCCAGCGAACATGAGACATAAAGACGGGGCGGGGCTATGCGTGTATCATGGGCGAAGAAAAGCTGGTAGACCATAGGAAGATGTGCGGTGAATGTTACTGGCTTGGATGAAGTTTGTGATGATGGATTTCGACAAGGTTGACGAGCGAGTTCTAGAACCTGAAAGTACCTACTCCGATTGATGAATTTAGTTTTGAAAACATATGCCTATCAACAACTGCTTTTAGACTTTATTACTATAATATCTACTTGTGCATCCGAAGCCAGCGTTTGCTATCTAAATATTTCCACATGTTCCTGCTCTATAGAATAGGGAGAAGGCCCTCTGTCCAGCCAATATTGAGATCCAATGCGAAAGTCATTAAGCCTGTGAAATCTGGTTGTTTGGCGCTCCCTTGTACTCGGTCTGGGTCTCGTTGGGCATGACATAATCGTAAGATGGTCCGCTCTTCTTCTTGCTCCAAAAAGACTGGCTTCCCTTGAAGAACAAGGGAGGCGGGTTGCGGATGTGAGTGAGGAAGATGATGAGGACCCAGACGAGGGTGATGGTGGGAAGCATCCAAGCACTGGCCTGGAACTTGGCCGCGTCGGTAGGGCTGTAGTTGAGGAGGGCAACCAAGCTCATTCCGATACCGAGGAGGGTGTAGATGGCAGTACGGACAATGCTCCATTTGCTCCAGGGGGTGGTGCGTGAGACGATGGTGAGGAGGACCATCAGGATGAGGGTGATGCCAGCAGCGATGTAGGCATATTGGAACTGGATACGAGGTTAGACACTGACAAGATATAGTTGATAACAGGTCCACTTACAACCAACTCAAAGCGCGTCCAGGTCTGCTCGTTAACCTTGGCCTCGAGGGCGTTCTCGGTAATGTTGGAGTTGGTTTTGTCCTCAGAGATTTCGGTCACAAGGTCGATGCCAAAGGTCTCGAGCAGCGAGTTCTCCATGGAGTAGCTGATGGAATAGAAGGCCTCCGCAAACGTATTGAACTCATCTTCATCTGGGAAATCCTTATCCTGGAGTGTCGTGGCGTACTTTGCAAACTGAGGCCAGAAATCATCGGCGATATCGCTGATGTTTGTGAGGGCGTTCTCAACGGTTGTCCAAGTCGAGGCATACTTGGGTGGGTAGAGCTTGAAGAAGTCGGTCATCATTTTGCTTAGGTTGTCGATGATTTTCTGAGTTGTCGACTTGGCAATGTCGTTGACATCGTTGAAGACTGAGTCGAGGGTTAGGTTCTTGAGGGTGTCGATGATCTTGGTCCAGATGACGAATTGGGTGAAGCCCTGCATGAAGAGAACGAGGGCCAGGTGGAAGGGGAAGTGGATGACTGTCCAGATCTGCTGGCGCACATGGGGAAGGTTGGGGTTCTTCATCCAGTCAAAGTAGACGAGGAAGACGAAGTAGACAGTGGCTGAGGCAGCAGTGACGATACCAATGGTTTGCGAATCTGATACTGGTTAGTTCCGTATCACCAGTGCGGGAAAAGTATGCTTACTCCATGCATCAGGGCTCTTGACGATAGTAACGACACTCTGAGCAATGACAATAATTCCATCACCAAGAATCATGACAGTCAAAAGACCCATACGCTTCATCAGATGAGTACCCTGGAAGCTGAGCACTGGCCAGATGTTTGCAAAGGCAAAGGTAAGGATGACCTCGACGCCCGCGAGGACGTACCATGCGATGAAGACGCGGCTGTTGCCAGCTCTGAAGCGGAACGTGATGCCTAGGTATACCAATGCCACGATGACGTTCATGCCGATCTGCATCAGCATCGGGAGACGCTGCTTCTTGTACTTGCGGATGTGCCATAGGATGCTTGCGTATTCGACGGCCAGACAGAGACGTGAGATCATGAGGATGATAGCTAGTCATGGTTAGTCATTGGTTTCGATGTTTCAAGGGGCTGTTCATACACATGGTTCTCATCGTCTTGACATTTTGGTCGTCGGGGGTAAACTTGGGAGCAACAACGGCGAATCCAACCATGACACCAAGATGAACGCCTCGAGCCGCTCGTTCTGTATTCCGTCAGCATCGCCCACTAATAAGAATTTAGTGTTGTCGTACCAAAGAGACTGTCAGTCACGAAGCGCACATCATAAAGGCTGACAGTGAGCCATGTAATCCAGAGAACACTTTCAACGTCAAAACATGCCAATACGTGCGCTGTCTTGACCCTCATACCTGAAGTATCCAACGTAGGCCTTGAAGCGGTCGTGGCTGTTGACACCCTGTGTCTGCGAAAAGACAGTGTAATTGGCGGCGAAGAAGAGATCGAAGAAGAGCTCAAGCAGACTGGCATCCTCGTGCTACTTGAGGGTCAGCAGCAAATTCTGACGTGGGCGTAATTCGCAAACCTTCTGGAACTGTGGACAATCGGCCTCGAATCTGTTACCAAAGAGACTCAAGTCGGGAGCCGTGGCTTGCTTCGTCGGGGCAAGAGTTATTGTGTCGGACCGGTCCTCGGCGATGAGGGGGCTCTTGAGAAGCTGGAGCTTCTCAGCCGTCGTCTGCTCTTGCGACTCTTCAATGGCCATCTTCACTAGCCGGCTAAAATGAATTGAACTGCCAAAAAGAAGAGATTGCAATTGAGAAAGGGACGCAGACACTTCAGTCAAGTAAACACTAGAGGTAGACGACGCTACTTATACAGACGACGCCACACACTCAATCTGCGTGAGCAGGGATACGGATATCATTAATAGAAATAGAGGATCATCATGCACAACTTAGAGCAGCGGCCGACTCCAGCCTCATGGGTGGCTCGTCAAGGATAAAGGCGATTGTGGGAGATGGTCAGCCTGGGGTGGACTCCCCCTGGTGCATTAGGGGAAACGCTCAGATGCAACCCAACATCCAGCTGCGCCCAGATGATGGCCTATGATTACCGAGCCGGAGCATCAAGGGAGCAGCTTGGTTCTGACGTGAGCAAGACCTAGCGCCAGCAACGGTGCAACTGGGGGCCAAAAAAAAAGCTGCTCTGTTCCCTCGTGGTAATCCGTGATTCGTGAAGACGCTCGGCCTGGGGCCTGACTGGAGAGACGCTGGATCGTCTTGGCAAGGGCGTTTTTTTCGGCCCACAAGGCTGGACTGGCTCGGTCCTGGGGATTGAATGATAAATGAGCTGGACCTCTCTAGGGTTGGTGTAGCTCAAGTCCCGAGGACCAGGGTGGCAGTGCCAAAAGTACCCTGTTATGTTGGCTGATTGAGGAAACATTTTTCGCAGCTGGAAGAGCTGATGACCAATGCTTCATGCTCACGTTTCTTGTATCGTACGGCATTACGAAAGCCATCCCATAGATTGGGCCTCTACCATAGTTGACTTTTGTCTTTCGATCAGTTGAATTCATCTGTAATGGCCCATTGAGGTCTTCAACACCATAAATGAAGAGGGTGGTGCTCTAAATAACGCTCCCGTTTGAGCCCGACGCCTCCTCCTCCTGCCACAAGTTGATATCCTCCCAGCTGAGCCGTTAGCGCAGATAACATCATGAGTCTATCAAGGATGATCGCTGGGTCTAGGTTTCACCGCTTCACACCTCGGAGCCGACCATTCTCTCGTCCTTTGAAAAATTTAGCCTGGTAGGAAGGGTGTGAAACGATAGACTAATTTGGGCCCATTCTTGTAGGGCTGGAAATAAGTGGGACAGAAATTCTGCAGGTGATGCAGATCACGTGGCTTGGCGACAGGCGAATGCCGAATGCATTTACTGAGGAGTTTTACCAAATGAAGCGCTTAATCTCGGCGCGTCTAACGCGTCTCCCTGACCCCATTGATTCACCATGTGCATGCCCATTGTTTGTTTGGCGCATGCGACTTGACAATTCAACATGATTCGATGCTAGAGTCGGCTTTGAACCTTTCCTAACAGCAGCATCTTGCCTGCTTAAGCTATAACACCATGGACCTCGCTGTTACACCGACCGGCCGAAAACGAGCCCACATCGAAACCGATGATCCAGTCCCTACTCCTGCGACCCTCAAGAGACGCCGCCTCGATGATCTCACCGCCGGATCCCCCTCGACTCCCAAAGCCATCAATGCTATCAACGCGGCGATACCTGCGGTAGTGAATAGCCAGAATGGATGGCCGCCAGTGGATGAGAATATGGACATGACTGGCCTTGGGAAGCAGCCTGGGGCTCTACCAAACCCATTCCAAACAACACCACAACCTGCACCTGGTTCCGCTTTCCGCCCGGCAATCAAACTCTCTGCGCTTAAGGGTACAAAATGGGATACTGGGGAGGAGCGTCGCCCTGTTTTGCCAAAGAAAGTTGGGCCTGGCCGGCCCAGGAAGACGGCCACACCGAAGAAGCCTGCAGCGCCGAAGGGCAGGCCACGGAAACGAAAAACACAAGATGCGGCTGAAGATGCGAATAAGGATGAAGATGAATCAGTGGCTCGCGAATCCACTGACGAACTTTCGGCGGTGCCAGATGGATTGCTTTCAGCCTCTAAACCAACACCCAAAGGAATCTTGACTCCTTCAAAGAAGAGAGGACCTCGGGGTCGCAAGAATGTCACTTTTGGGGGTGGTCATGATGCAAACGGCGAAGTCTTCTTTGAAGATTTGCCAAAGAAGCCAAGGACACCGCGCAAGGTGGCCAAGTCGGAGGCAGACGAGATTGTGTGCGCCATCTGCCTAAAGCCCGATTCCAAGGCGCCGAATCAGATTATTCTCTGCGACATTTGCGATTTTGCGGTTCATCAAGAATGTTACGGTGTGCCCGAGATCCCAGAAGGAGATTGGCTCTGCAAGTCATGTGCTCAAGAGGATGTGCTCAAGACGCCAAAGAAGGCTGGAGAGACAAAGGTCCCGACAATCACAATAGCGGCAGAGGTACCTGAGATTCCGAACCTGGAGCAACATGTTAGATCACTGCAGAGAGTCCTCCTGGATCGATGCACAGGGCGGAGACGGTTACAATTGGCTGGGCAGCTGGAGGCAGAGGAGAAGGTTTACCAGCTTGTCGAACAGACGGTGGTTGCTGGTGAGGGTAACTCGATGCTCCTGATTGGGGCCAGGGGCTGTGGAAAGACCACGGTAAGATGTCACACCTCTTTGGCGTCACTCAGTCAACTAACTTGTGACAGCTTCTTGAAAAAGTTATTGCAGACATTGCTCAAGAGCACAAGAACGACTTCCACGTGGTCAGGTTAAACGGTTTCATCCACACGGATGACAAGCTCGCCCTGAAAGAGATATGGCGACAGCTTGGAAAGGAGATGCAGGTCGAAGATGACTTGGTGAACAGGGTGAGTACAACCTTCGCTTCCTTTGCCTATCCCAACTCACGCTTCTAGACCAACTACGCCGACACCATGGCATCCCTGCTTGCACTGCTGTCTCATCCATCTGAAATCATCGGCACAGACGAGGGTGTCACGTCGCAGTCGATTGTCTTTGTCATTGACGAGTTTGACATGTTTGCCTCTCACCCTCGACAAACACTATTGTACAACTTGTTCGATATCGCACAGTCTCGAAAGGCGCCCATCGCAGTGGTGGGCTGTACGACGAGGCTGGATGTTGTGGAAATGCTTGAGAAGCGAGTCAAGAGTCGATTTAGTCATCGATACGCTTACCTCTCCATGCCCAAGTCGCTGCCAGCGTACTGGCAAGTGTGCAGACAGGGTCTGGTAGTGGACAGTGATGAAGCTGAGAAGGAGGGTATCAACACTTATCTTGAGGGACACGCCGAGTTCCAGCAGTATTGGAGCCAGAAGATCGAGGTAAGTAAATCCTTCCTTGACCTAGAGCAAGTATGCTGATTCCATGCAGGGGTTGTACAGGGAGCGGTCATTTCAAGATCTGCTCCAGTATCACTATTACACGACCAAATCGGCTTCGGCGTTCCTTACCGAATGGATCCTGCCCTTGTCGGCTCTCTCGGCGAGCGATGTGACACTGAAGATACCTGCTCTACAGAGCGAGGTTGAGTCTCTCACGCCCCCTGACAACAGACTGCACCTCCTATCCACGTTATCAGAGTTGGACTTGGGACTGCTCATCGCGGCAGCACGACTGGACATCGTGGCGCACACAGACACGGTCAACCTGGCCATGGCGTACGACGAGTACAGTTCCTTGATGGGGAAGCAGCGTGTGCACTCCGCAACAGCAGGCATGATGGCCGTGGGCGGTGGTGTCCGAGTATGGAGCCGTGGAGTCGCCGGCATCGCTTGGGAACGTCTCATCTCTCTCGGACTGCTGGTCCCTGCTGGCATAGGAGGCGCAAGGGCCCTTGGTCACGGAGGACTTGAGGGCAAGATGTGGAAGGTGGACGTGGCATTGGAGGAGATACCTGCGGCGGTGAAGCTGAGCACTGTATTGGCGAGATGGTGTAGAGAGATTTAGAGGGGGCATTGTTTGATGAGGCGTACAGGCTGTATGCGAAAACGAGGCATTTCTGTGCTGCTTGGTTGTGAGCAGTGTTGAAGAGCTATGAATACCTATCTACATATAGAGTAATTAAAACATGTCAAGGATTTTTGCTACCTGTTTATCGCTCAAAGTTTTGCCAAATTCTTAAAAATCTCTCTTTCTCACGGTAGGTATATGATGTGAGCAACATTAAGAAGTATCATATTCGAGTTATCTTTTTACTTTCAAGTAGAGTTTATATGAAGTACTGAGGTAGGTAGCTAGTCTCAGCTTATAAAGGAAATTATTTAGTGTGTACTATAGCAGTAGGTATCCATTTTGAGGAAGTCAATCCTAGCATTTTTCTCATTTTATATCCCATAGCTAGTACCAGCCTTAACTTTCGTATGTCCTTTCAACCGCCTGTGTTTTTCTCGAATTTCGTCTGTAGCTTGATCAGTACTTGAGATATGTGTAAGTGTGTGCCATAGATACTCACCGTTGGCTCGCAACAAACTCTGATGTATCTCTCACCAATCCGTCAGACCCAAACCTCTGCGTTTGGCGTCAAGAGGCTCGTCAAACATGCCCGCCTCGAGCGTCTCGAGGTCTTCCATCCTCGTCATTGACTGCCGACGAGGGAAAATGAGGCCCACGGGGACGGTAAAGATTCTGAATGATAGACCGAGCATTGTGTTTTTTGTGAAAAGAAAGGGGTGGCTTCACAAAGTGATGCTCTTAGTAGGCAGAAGAGGTGAGAGTAGTTGAGAAAGTGCTGGGGTCTAAGTATATCACCAACATCTCCCAAAAGGCCTCACGATATGGCTCTATACTTATACCCATTCGCCATCCAGACCGGCCTCCCCGCGTTTTTTGAAGCCAGGTGTTCTGTTCCCCCGAGCACCCCAAGGCTGATGCCGTATCCGTACGAACGGAAAGGGGCAAATATTGCTAGGACGAATAGTAAGGAGGGGAGCATCACCGCCAAAGGCTAAGGCTGAGATGGCGCCAGCGCCTCGCGGAGGTCGCGATCTTGGTGGCGGATTGGTTGGAATGCGGATTTTCAGGGGCGTGGAGGTAAGCTTCATCGGAGTTGGCCCAGGTCGCAAATGCCAACTGGTGGGTTGATGTAGATCTTGTGCTTCTTTAGTAGGTCCCTGAGGATTTTGACCATCTACGTTATGTGATGAGATATGGCGGCGAGAGTCAAAGGTGAAAGGGGAGCACCTGATGCCCAAGAGGATGGTACTCAGTCAGGCCAGATATCTTTCTTACCGCAAGCTGTATCTATTCGCCTTCAAAGACCTATGCGTCTTTGGGATAGTCATACCGCTCTCGGCATGAATGGCATAGGAGTCGAGAACCTCATGTTGCCACTCATGGCATCCTCAAATTATACAGCCCTACAGCTTCTCGTCCAAACTGTAACCAATCCTAATTTACAGCAGAATACAAAAAGACACATAATCTTTAGAGTAAAGGATGGCACTGGTTCAGCTCGCCTGGTGGATTCGATTCAACCCGTCTGTTTGGGAGAGATACCCTCAAATCTAGTACACAAAATTATCCATCCCCCCAAACGCCGTCATTCCTCTCATTGTCCATACAATCAATAGGTAGTTAGCATTAAGCATTTCACGTCCAAAACCGTCCAATGGATCCCATCATCCATCCCAATCAACTTAAACGTGATCGATCAATTCATGTCTCATTCCACAACCAGACCCTCCAGCACCCTCATCGCTTTTGAGCCCTCGTTCTCGAACCGGCTCACTATCGATTCGCACTCGAGCTTTAGCTTGTTCTCGGCCTCTGCTGCATTGTGGTAGATCCACTCCTGCACCGTCATCTGTTTCTCTGGTGATGTCAAACTCTGTCCCTGCTTCAAGAATCGATCCGGGCCATTCTCCTTGTCCGAGTTGGTCTGTGGTGACCCAAAAACGGCATCGAGGTCTAGCTCGTTCCATGGCGTTGTGCTACGGAGACCGACAATCATGTTACGCTTGGACGGCGAGCCACGTGTAGGAGTTGAAACTGGGGGGGCGAGCGCAACTCGCTTGGGGTTGGCGCTGGCTGCAGGCTTTGACGACGGAGGCTGGTTCTCAGCGTCAGAGGACTGAGGAGACTGAGACGGTGAGATGGCTGCTTGTCGGGCGGATGGCGCAGGGGAAATGATGCGTCCCGGCGTTGATGGAGGGTTCGCTAGATGAGCGGAACTAGGAGGTGGCGATGATGGCCGCGCCGATTCAAACGACACCACTCGAGCGGCGGCATGCTCTCCCTTCTGTTCCTTAGCCGAGTGCAGTTGAACGTCATCTTGCACATCTTCTTCTGATCGTTGCGTGGATGGCTGCGCTGCCTCTTCGCCTTCAATCGACTTCTGAGCATCCAGGGACTTCTTGGACGGCCGCCCTCGACCGCGCTTGGGAGGGGCAACACTTGACTGGCTCTCCTCAGCGCCCAAGGACGCACGGGATGCTAGTGATGCCTTGGATGGACGACCACGGCCTCGCTTAACCGGGGGTTCTTCCGGAGTCTCAACAGGTGTTTGAGTTGGCGCTTCAACAAGTTCGAGTTCATCAGCCGACGCTTGAGAGACGAGTGACGCCTTGGAGGGCCGTCCGCGACCTCGCTTGCCCGCAGCGCTCGAGCGAGCAGCCGCCGTCTTCTTGACAACTGTGTCTGTGCTGACCATGCTTTCCTCATGAGCTGGCTCCTTCACCTCTGGCTCCCATTCTGGTGTAGTAGACTCGGGGATTTCGTCGGGTTGAGGAGTCTCTTCGGGAACGGTGTGATCTTCTTCTTCAACAGGCTGTGCTGCGGCCTTGCCCTTCTTCGCCTTGGTCTGCCTCGACACCTTTCGAGTTCCAGCCTTTCGTCCCTTCTTCGGAACATGAAGCTCCTCAGGTTCTGGCTCCGGCTCCGGCTCTGGTTCGACCTCGGGCTCCGGTTCATGTTCTGACTCGGGTTCTGGTTCCCGTTCCGGCTCCGGCTCATCGACTTCCATTTCAGCTTGCAGAGCCCTGAGCTCATCGTCAACCTCATCTTCATCCACCTCAGCTGGTTCAGGGTCGAACATGGCATAGTCCTGCGATTGATCGGCCTTGGCCTTTGCTCCCTTCTTCTTAGCCTTTAGCCGCTCGGAGTCAGAATCGACTGTAATCTCTTCATCCTCAGTCAGTTGCCTCTCCAGGTCTGCCTCCAGCTGACGTTCAATCTCATCATCGTCCGGGAATGTTCCAGGTGTTGATTCATAGGCGGGCATAGACACCTCGGCCTCAGAGGCAACAGATGTCGTAGAGACTGTGCGTGTAGCCTTGGTAGCCTTCTTAGTGGTCTTCTTTCGCCCACCCTTCTTGGGAGCGGACTCTTCGACCATCTCCACGTCCTCCTCTTGTTCCAAAGTCGAATCGGGTACGGCGACGCTACCGCGAGTTCGTGTTGCGCGTTTCTTAGCAGCAGGAGCTTCCGACATTGCTATGCTGGCATCCTCAATTGCTGTACTGTCTCGCTTCTTTCCCCGAGAAGGCTTGGGCGGTGCCTCTTCCTGGATCGACTCTTCCACCTCTTCAACGGGTTCCTTCTTGGCCTTTGTCTTCCGTCCCTTTTTCGGGGCGGCCTTGCGAGCTTTTGTCTTCTTGCCACCTTGTGTCGAGGCTGTGGTAAGGACACTGTCTTCGGGGCCAGCGACCGATTCGTTCAGAGATGGCGCTTCTGATGTGGCCGTGGCGACAGATTGAACAGATAGGCGCGAAGCCTTGGATGCGCGCCCGGCTTTCTTGGGCGGCTTCTTGTGGTTTTGTGCCTCATCAAGCAAGATGAAGAAAGGACAGTCGGGGGATCGGTTGAAGTGCTCCTCACTAGGCAAATGTTAGCTAGAAGCGAGAAATATGAGAACAGAATACTGACAGTGGCATGTCACCGGGCTCCCATCCGTCGAGGGCAAGTTGGCAGTATGCGCATGTTGCCATGTCATCCGAATCCTCGGTCGGTGTGTATTTCCATCCCGCGTCAACCAGTTGCTTTGTTTTGCACTTCCAGCCCTTCTTAGAATCGTGCGGCCACCTGCCAGCAAAAGTCGCCTTTCTAGCATCTCTCATGTATGATTGATTTGGGTCTTCTTGCGCATAGTCTCCCACCTCGGCCTCAATCGCGGCGACGACGGCCCAGCCACACTCGGGGGCATGCTTGAGATGTTCTAGGAGAGGGTCGTCGAAAGCCTCCCAACCGTCGAGGCCCTTGTGGCATAGAAAGCAGTTGACATTGTCGGGACTTTGTGGGGTAGGGTTGAAGAATAGACCAGCGCGAGCAAGCTATTGAGCATGTTAGCATTGGGTTACGTGGCAGCGCAGAATAATCCATACACTCGCAGCCGAGATATTCTTGTGCGGCCAAGCGAGGGCCTTGGTGCCTCTGCCACCAGCTGTTGACCCTCGCTTTTTTACACTCTTGTGAAAAGAAGCCAAACGGCTCTCATATGTGATGTATTGGTCGGTAATGTCGTCGAAAGACATGATTGCGATGATGCGACGCGTCGAGTCGCGGTTGATTGAGGGTATCTGCAGTCAAGGCGCGAAGCGAGGCCTCGTTGGCGATGTGGACGCAAGGAACCACGAGACACGACGGCTATGAGGGAGGAAAAATCCAGGAAAAATTAGTGAGCATTTCAATATCAAAGGCTCGTCTGAAAATATCGCTGGGCGTCGCGTAGGAAGCTCGTGGGGATGTCGAATTGCGATGTATGGGAAGAGTGTTGTTTGGAAGGAATATTGATTGATGGCCGTAGCAAGAGGCCCGCTGCGGTCGACGGTCCAGTAATGGCTTTGGGTGGGTCCAGGCGCGTTTGTTTACTTTGGTGGGTCAACCAGGTCTTTGACCCCAGAGATCCAAACAACCCGATCACCAATAGAATATATGGGACTGTTCAAAGCGCCTAGGTTGAGGGTATTGATTTGTCTATGCTTGCAGTAACCGAAAGTTTGCAGTTACTTTGTGTTTTGACAAGATAGAAACGATTGCTTTCTGCGACAGGCTGGCTTCTCGGCTACCCGGGTAACTTGCTAGCTGAAAGGACGGTAGCATGCCAAACTAAGATATCATATCATATTGACCACAAAGCTACGTGTTCTTGGCCTTGATACTGTGGCCTCCAATCAAGTATTCACAGCTTCCCAGCCGCTTTCAGTCCTCGCTCACCATCCACCAAGATGCACCACCCTTCATGACCCCGGCCGCCATCCCCGGCCACAACCGCGTCGAATCCACCTTGCTCGTTGGCAAACTTGAGGACGTCATCATCAAAGCTACCAGGCTGCAGCCACACAGACGGGATGCCAAGCTCCTTTGCTTCCTGGAGCACCTTGAGAGTTGCTGAAGGAGGAGTGATGACTGAGATGGACGTCTGCTTTGGATTGGGAAGCGCAGTAATGTTGGGGACTGTGGGATAGTCCTTTTCTAAAGCAGAAATAGTCGCCGACCCCGGATTGATGGGCGTAACTGGCAGGTCATGATATAGATACCAGACAAAGACTATTTGCACTGTCAGTCGACACGGCTTTCATGAGATATTGACATGGATGGATTTAACCTCGGTGGCCGAACTTGGCGGGGTTTGAGCTCGCGCCCACTACCGCAAAGGCAGAAGACGCAAAGAACTTGCGAACAGTGGCTTCAGTAGTCATCTTAAAGTCGATTGGGTGCTTGGCTATCGGTATCTTGTCTTTGGCTGTTGAGGATTGTCAATCAAGGATGCGAGAGTTCAAGGGGAGGATGAAGGTTCCGTTATCACCCACGCCAGCTGCGGGGCTGCGGCAAGTCGCCATACACCGATCACTCCATGTATCTTAAGTGCTTGTGTCATGTCATATGGATGCAAGGCCGAAGCCCCGGCTGCGAATTATAAATCAGTTGATTCTGCTTGTGTGCCCTTTCTTGTTCTTTCAAAGTACAGTAACCTTGATCAATAAGCCATCGTGACCGTGAACATGTCCGTATTTGGGTAAGTCATCATGGTCAAATCGATGGATGCATCTCCTAGGACAATGCAGAACTAACACCACCGCAGAAGGGCAACTTTTTCTGCTGCAAGATTCGCCGAAGCCAGGCCCACGTACCCTGCAAGTCTGTTCAAGACTATTCTGGGGTATTACAATCATGAGGATCCTCATGGCACGCTTCTAGACTTGGGTTGTGGCCATGGAATTGTTGCCAGGGAGCTGAGCCCCCGCTTTGCCAGAGCCATCGCCATTGACCCAAGTGATGGGATGATCCGACTGGCAATGCAAACCCATGCTGAGCACACCAAGATCTCGTTTCGTCAGGGCTACGCTGAGGACTTGTCTTTTCTACCTGCACACTCGGTAGATATGGCTGCAGCCGGCCAGGCAGCACATTGGTTCAACTACCCCCAAGTCTGGCCAGAGCTGTCTAGGGTAGTCAAGCCAGGCGGCTCACTGGCCTTTTGGGGATACAAGGACAACATCCTCATTGGACACCGACGAGCCAACGAGATATTTGAGAAGTTCTGCTACGGCGACGGAGAAGTGTCACCCGGGGTAGAGGGCATGAACCAGTATTGGGAGCGTCCTGGACGAGACATCCTCCGCGACCTGCTAGAGGATGTTAAGCCCCCTGAGTCGGAGTGGGACAAGATCAAGCGAATCACCTACAACGTCGACAAAGACACCAAGGAGATTGCAGGCCCAGAGACGGCTTGGATGAGGAAGAAGCTCACCCTCGGACAATTTGAGGCCTATGTACGCACCTTTACTGGGTACCAGGGCTGGATGGATGCGCACCTGGACAAGAAGAGCCGTGCCTTGGGTGGTGAAGGAGACATTGTGGACTTTATGTTTGATGAGATCCTGGAGGCGGAACCTGAGTGGAAGGAGAAGGGTGATCGCTGGAGAGATATCGAGGTTGAATCCGTCTGGGGCACATACATCCTGCTGGCGACGAGAAAGTGAAGATGAAGACGAGTCAGGACGGATACCGCTAAGACTTGATGAAGGCGATCGACAGCCACGCAACAGATATTTATGCAAATGCAATGGCCTCCAAGCCCATTTTTCACACATAGAGACCAATCCTTTGATAAGAGCTATGCATATTTACCCAAGTTTCAATAGTTTCACCGCCTCGATTGGCTAGTAGAAGGTCGACAATATAAACCCGACATCATGCACCCCTGACTAGATAACAGGGCCTGCACTGGCGATCAACCGCCCAATCTATTCTGTCACCCCGGCTGGCTTCGGTTGGGCGACCAGCCTGGGCCATGGGCTGACACGGTTGCCCCGTCAGTCTCAGGCAAAAGGACAGCAGGGAGGTCGAGGCGTGAATTGAAATGCACGACGAGTGCAAGCCTGGTCCTCCTTTCTTACTTCTTCATCCTTCAACACCACTCGACCTCTCGAAAAATCATCACCAAGCAGTTTTTTTTTCGCATCTCTCTCGTGTAATCTCCAGTACACGTTCCCTTCGCCACTGCTCCCGTGTCACACACAAGCCCATCAGCCGCACACACCCAAACCCAAAATGGTGAGTCCCAGTTGCCCCGGACACCCCCTTCTCGATGGCGTAAACAACCCACCCCGCCCTCTGATTCGACAGTCGGCCGCCCGAACAGTGGAAGAGCTTGGAAAGTTGGTTTTGCATCACCTCGCGCGAAACAAACAGTCTCGGACTTTCTGCAACTTTCATCTTTTCACATTCTCCGCACCTGAATCGCAATCGCAGCACTTTAACCAGCGCATCACAACACAACAAAACACAAGCAATCATGTCTTCTAACAAGTTTGACTCTCAGGCTTCGACCAACTACAAGGAGGCTTTTGCCCTGTTCGACAAGCGCGGCAATGGCCGTGTCTCCCTTGAGAGCCTGGGCGACCTTCTCCGCGCCTGCGGCCAGAACCCTACCCTCTCCGAGATCCAGGACCTCGAGAAGAACGTTGGTGGTGACTGTGAGTATTTTATTTTGATCTCGGATGCTTCAGGGCGCAGACTGACCTGATGCGCACAGTCGATTTCGAGACCTTCCAGCGTGTTCTGAACCGCCCCGGCGGCTTCCGCGACCCAGGCGAGCCTGAAGAGTACTGCCGTGGTTTCCAGGTGTTTGACAAAGACATGACGGGATTCATCGGCGTCGGCCAGCTCAAGTACATCCTCACAAACCTCGGCGAGAAGATGACCGATGAGGAGGTGGATGAGCTCCTCAAGGCTGTCGATACCAGCTCAGGCCAGGTCAACTACACTGGTACGTTTTCTACATTTCGCGCCTCACTCTTCCAACCAATAACTGACTGTTCGATTGCAGATCTCGTGCGAACCATCCTCGCCAACTAAGTGGCACAAGACAAGGGGCGGATCAGTTAATGCATCTACGTGGAAGGGCCGGCGTTTGCTTGTTTGATTATGGATTGGAATCGGCTATGGATACACCGAATTGATGAATTACCGCTGAGCCTTTTGGCGAAGCACCAGCATGTATGGATTTCTGGTAGATACTTTGGGGACGAGCAGGAGTCTAGAATTGATGCTCTTGTGTCTCTTGATTACTCATTCCTGTGATGTTGCTCTGGTGGATGTTTCAACATGATCAGGGGCGTAATGGGGCACAGAGAGGTGCAACAGCCTCAGCAGGATATCCCGATCCTTTTGTTTACTTTTGCACGCATAAATAATCAAGGCTTCCAATCAAAATCATGGCTCATGCGCCCTCAATTGTTGCATCGTCCCGCTCCGCCCTGACCTGATCATGATGCCCGTGGCTGCCCCGCCACAGCACCCGTCCCGATTGCCCCGCGTTTTCCATTCGCTAGCGGCTGATTGAGGCAGGAGCTCCAGCTGCATCACCAGTAGCTCTCGCCCCATCACCCTGCATCAACCACACTTTAACGCCTTGGTAGACGCCTGATCAATAGAGCTTCTGCCTGTTCGTCGAACCCCTCTTTTGCATCCTTTACCTTCTGGCCTCAATCCCATAATCTATAAAGCCAACCGGCTGCCCAGCCAGTAACAACCCACTTCTTGTCCTGGCCGCCAAGCTGGACAAGCGTGCTTCCCGCAAGCCCCTCCTCCTACTCTCCCTCCTCGTCCTCGTCCTCGCCATCACTCTGGCTTCCTCACGAGCCTTCTCCCGACTCGGATCACTTGCCAGTCACTTCAGATTCCAAGCTGCGCGCTCTGCTATCCCTACAAGACAGCTCATGACCAGCACCATGGTTCCCGACAAGTACCGTAACCCTCCCCAGGCGCCGCCGCTGTTCACCGCCACCCCCGAGTCGATTGCGGCCGACACGAAGAAGCTCTGCGATGTTACCAAGAATGTCCTAGACTCGGTGGTTGCTGATGTCCCTGCCGACAAGGCTACCTTTGCCAAAGCTCTGGAGCCTATCCTGCTGGACGAGAACTTGGCTGCCACCCAGCGACGCATCTTGACTTTCTATCACCATGTTTCCACCAAGAAGGACCTGCGAGATGCCTCCACCGAGGCTGAGAGAGTCTTCAATGACTTTGGAATCGAGTGCAACATGCGAGAGGACGTCTTCAAGGTCGTCGACGGAGCCTTCGCGAACCGATCTTCTGAAGATCTGAGCAAGGAACAGCTGCACGTTCTCGAGAAGGAACGACAAAAGTACATCCGAAACGGTCTGCGTCTTCCTGCCGGTCCCAAGCGAGACAGATTCAAGGAGATCCAGAAGCGTCTGAGCGAGCTCGAGATCCAGTGCCAGACCAACCTCAACGAGGAGAAGGGTGCTATCTGGTTCACACCTGAGGAGCTTGAAGGTGTCCCTTCTGATGACATTGACATTGACTCTCTCGAGAAGGGTACCGGAGAGAACGAGGGCAAGGTCAAACTTTCCTTCAAGTACAACCACTACTTCCCTCTTATCAAGCACGCCGTCAACGCCGACACTCGCCGCAAGTACACTATTGCGGAATCTAACAAGGCCAACATCAACGTGCCATTGTTCCAGGAAGTCATCACTCTCCGAGACGAGGCCGCCCGACTTCTCGGATACGAAAATCATGCAGCCCTCCGGATCGAGGAGAAGATGGCCAAGGGCCCTGAAGCTGTCCGAGAATTCCTGGACGATCTTCGAACCCGGCTGGCTGAGGGTGGAGCAAAGGAGATCAACAAGCTCTTGGAGTACAAGAAGAAGGACCTTGAGGAACGTGGTCTCCCGGTTGACGACAACTTCTTCATGTGGGACACATCCTTCTACTCGCGTATCCAGAAGGAGAAGGAGTACAGTGTCGATGAGACCAAGATCTCTCAGTACTTCCCCGTTGAGTCGACATTTGCTGGCATGCTCAAGATTTTTGAGGAAATCTTTGGCTTCGTTTTCGTTGAGCTCAAGCCTGATGAGCGAGCTCGACTTAGCCCCACTGGCAAGGCAGAGGATATTGTGTGGCACGAGGATGTCTTGATCTACAGTGTTTGGGATGACGAGGCTGCAGGTAGCAACTTCTGTGGCTACCTATACCTGGATCTGCATCCCCGTGATAACAAGTATGGCCACAATGCCAACTTCAACCTTGAGCCAGGCTACATCGCTGAGGATGGCAAGAAGCACTACCCCGTTACTGCTCTTGTCTGCAACTTCAGCAAGCCTTCCCCCAAGAAGCCTTCGCTGCTCAAGCATCATGAGGTTGTGACCCTGTTCCACGAGCTGGGCCACGGCATCCACGACTTGGCTGGACGTACCCGCTACAGCTACTTCCATGGAACTTCTACCGTGCTGGACTTTGTCGAGGCACCTTCCCAGATGCTCGAGAACTGGTGCTGGACCCCTAGCGTGCTCAAGTCGCTCTCCAAGCACTGGGAGACTGGCGAGCAGATCCCCGATGAGCTGATTGAGAAGCTGGTTTCCACCAAGCGCCTCAACTCAGCCATTGGTGCTCTGGGTCAGCTGACCATTGGACTCTTCGACATGACTGTGCATACGCCCGAGTCTCACGAAGCGGTCAAGAAGCTGAATGCCGGTCGTCTGTGGAACGAGCTTCGACACAACATCTCTGGAACCAAGGGCCCTGAGGACCTTGGACAAGGCCTGTAAGTATTGATTGTATTACTTTGACCATGAGTAGCACACTAACGGTGAAGTAGTGAATGGGGTAACCGACATGCTGGTATTGGTCACTTTATTGGCGGATACGATGCCGGCTACTATGGCTACCTCTACTCCGAGGTGTTCTCTCTCGACATGTTCCACTCGTTCTTTGCGAAGAACCCCATGAACGCCGAGGAAGGTCGCCGATATCGCCACACAGTCCTGGAGAGGGGTGGCAGCATTCCCGAGTTGGAGTTCTTGAAGGAGTTCTTGGGTAGAGAGCCTAGCTCAGAGGCATTCTACAAGGAGCTTGGACTTTCGTCATCTGCTTAAAGAAAGAGGTGTTTTGGTGCCGGTATTGGCAACATAGAAAAGAAAGAGAAAATACGTAGATACTCGGTCAATGAAAGAGTTATGAGGCATGCAACTTGATTGTCGACCTTGATTATGAATGTGCATATTTTGCTTGGAATGCGCGAGGGGAAGTTTGGGTCTGGTTATTGTCCGTTTGACATATCTTGCGGGATCTCTGCATCTAGGTAGGTAGATAGTTGGATGTCAAAAACATGCCGTTTCTGTAGAATTTCCTCCCAACCACAACTCTCGGATGATGATTTGCAACACATAGATTGGGGAGATTACAAAGGCCAATATCAAGATAACTGTAAAAATCAATTGTTGATTGTAGCTATCTAGGATTTTGCAGAAACTAGTATTCTAGCTTCTGGCTGACTTGGTATTGTAAATCATCAAACAGCAAATCTCAACCGTAATACATCACAGGTCATACATGTTACAAACCCCCAGACTCCGTCCCCCTTCATAGACTCGCTGATCTCTTACCAGGCGCCTCCCCCATTCGGCGCAACTCAACATCGCTTCCAGACTCCGTGTCGTCTAGAAAGCTCTCGCCGCCTCTTCCCGACGTCTCCTGTGAGGTCTCGGCTGGTGCGTTACCAACCGCCGTCTCTACCATCTCTTCCGAACGCCCAGAGCTGCGGGCGCCCTTGACCCACTCCTTCAGAGGTCTCCAGCTCGTCACAAAAAAGATGACGGCGTTCCAGAGTCCTTGGAGTGGCAAGACTGCAGCTGTGGCGACGTGGTACTCGTAGGGCGAGGTGCCGACGAGCCAGCTGTGGATGCGGTTCAAACTGCTCGGGATCCAAGTCACCAACACACTAAGGGCGAAAAGGAAACTAGTACGCAGGTAGGCTCGCTTGATGGGGTCCTCGACGACAAACTTGTTGACCGTCTTGTTGGTCGCCGACGTGATGCGGCGGAGCGGGGACCGATGGGGGTGGTGGTTGCCGGCTGGGGACGTGACGGTGGAGAAGTATTGGCTCGGAGCTGTCTGGATCGGAGGGGGGAGCTCGTCGAAAGAGACGTGAGGTGTTGATTGCTGCATATGGGCAGGTCTTGGTTCGTTGGGGAGTGCAGATGTAGATGCTGTTGAGTGGACAACCTGGACTTCGGTGACGATGGTTCCGTAGAAGCAGTCTTGAGGCACCGAAAGAAAATCGACGCGAGGCTTAATACCTGTTAGAGGGCTTCAAAGGAGTGGTTGTGGTTGTCAAGTACCTGCTCATAGACGCCCGCTTCTCTGCTCTTGGATGCCGAGAAACTCTTGAGTTGGTTTCGAGAGTGAAAGACATGGTATCCGACCATGAAGTAAAAGATCAAAGACCCGACAATACAAACCCAGATGAGCATGTAGTAGGTGTATATACGGATGTTTTCCCAATCCTGATTGACCCAGCACCAGATCTATACATAGTTAGTCGAAGAGTGTTGGAGACATGTTTCGAGTACTCACAGTTGCCTGACCATACACAAGTCCTCGGTGCGGGCTTCTAACCAGCAGCAACGAGAGAGCGATTATGAAAGGGCCACCATAGCATATGAGGCAGTACAGCCACCACCATTTGCGAAAGGCATCGGGGCTGGTGCGAAAGAAGAAGACAAGAAAGACGTTGAAGGCCATGGCGAGGGACCACCACGGGTCAGACTGCATGAACCTATACCGGTCAGCAAGAAATACCAATGAAAGTGAGGACAGGACTAACATGTGGAACAAGAAGCTCTGTGCCTGGCACAGCGGGGACGCAACACCCAGCTCAAGCCCATCCATGGCGATGACGCTCGCGATACTAGCGCCGACATTGGCGATGCTCGCAAACACGATGAACGTGTTTTGGACGTTTCGGACTCGAGGAACCAGAGCGTAGGCGATGAAGATGAGGACGACGGCGACTAGGCTGATGGAACCTCCCATGCGCTCCATCAGAACCA